TTTCTTTGATTTCGATCCCCGCTATTCGCCATCATTTTTTTCTTCATGATTCAATTCTGATTAACGCGCGCGCAAAAGACGCATTATGCACGGAATCGTGCACAAGGTGGGCTTCCACAAAGATGCGTACAGGGAAGTTATTTGTGTAATTTACGGCTAGAGTGGCACTCGCGACGGATAACTGCTGCGAGGTCGCAAGCGCTGGTCTTCTTCTATTTCAAAGTGCACATTTTCAAGTTGTTGTTATGAGAATACGTCTGGCGAACGTCTTTGGAATAATATACAGTATCGTCCCGTAAAAAGGCGCGAATAAACTAATAAAAATCGGTCAAGGCAATTCGATACATTCATCTACTAAAAATTATAATCAGATAAAATAAATCGGTTAAATTTATTACATATAATAAAAAAATCTTTTTCTTTTTTTAAATAATATTATAGAAGAATATATAAATATATAACATACGATACAGCAAAATTAGTTAGAGCAAGAAAAATAAATCATGATTATTATCTTAAAATCTACTGATTTATCATTTTCGATGGTTATTTCGTAATTATCTACGCATTGAAGAGTACGATATATTTTCTTCCCATGCACGAAACATCGCGTAAACCGGCAATCTCGTAAATGTGATGAGCATTCTGTCGACTTAATTGCTGTACTCTCCTTAAATTCACAAGGCAGCGGCTTGTCGGATTCCGGGGTAGAGCAACATGGGGCGCACCGCGTACTGTTCCTTCCTTCTTTTTGTCACGAGCATCCGGTTTTTAGACGTATCGTAACGACGACATTAGTATCGCGTGCAACGGCTCGTGCAGCTTTTAACGGAGCCGAATGTTCGCGAAAAGCAGCGAGCCGACAAGATTGCGGGCGTGCACTTTGAAATATCAAAATGTAAATTAATGCGCCAAACATTACATTGCTCTTTAGTATTATATTACTTTAAATGGCATTATTAAAACGCGAAATACTATTTGATCTCTTACATGTAACGGGACTACGGGTATAAAATTTATGGCGAATATGTTTTTCGTAAACCTATTAGTCGCTATCGGTCTATTAATTGAAACTGTTACGTTATATGTAATATATCGGTAGTAAAATGTATTTATATTCATCTTTCGAAACTTGAGCGAACAGCTGGCATACGTATAAAGGACGCTTGAAATAACGAGTAAAAGCGGTGCGCTTTAGATTAATAATGCTTTCCTCGATCCCAATCGCCCACGATTTATCGGACGTATGTACCTGCGGGACACACGATATTTCCGACGCGTCGCTAATACATCGCGGAACATCATCGATAGCTCTGATATCACAAGCATTAAGTATTCAAAGAGATACAATTTTATTTTCGGTACCGCTAACAATTGATCTATGGATTTCCCGTCGCTGTGTGTTGTCGCTACTCGCATCTCACGGTGAATATTTCATCGGGATATTGTATGCCGGAAGTTAAAAGTCATGTTTCTTTTTTTCTTGTAATATTGTCATGATTTAAAAGATGTGTGATTTCTACAGATACACCAGAGTTTTTTGAAAATCTGTGCTTTTTTTAAAAAACATTTAAAAACTACGAGTTTTCATTCTGTTGAACGACATTCTGCCGCGCACACACACACGCGAACACGTGGAGGGATCTGGGCAAAACACAATTGTAAACGCTTCGAATATTTCATAAATTCGTGTTCCTTGACATTGTCATTAATTCTGTTCCTCCGCTTCTAATAATGTATATACACGTAAGTCGAGCAAATAAGAAAACTTCTTTACACTGGAAAGATTAAGATTTTGAAATCTTAATGTTACCTTGTTTTGGAATATAATTCTGCGTTTCAAAATTTATATATATCTAAAACATGTAAGATTTTATTAATATTAAAAATATATATCAAATAAAATCCATTAAATGTTTACCGAAACCAAACGAAACTAGCATTGCGTAGTTTGCAAATTTTTAGCGCAAAAAGAGATTTGATGCTATCTATTAAGCTCGTATACACGTGCAAATTTGATACTTCGAAATCGAACTATTATTCCATTAAACTACGAGTACTATAGGAATTTCAAGCTCTGTAAAGTTAAAATAATATAAATTTAAAATATGGAATAAGAGAAAGACAGAAGCTAATTGTGTGTGCTAAATAAAAAACAAAATTAATAATTAAAAAATATATATTACCCGCAAAAATATCATTTATCCGGAAACGACTATCGTTGCACTTTTTTATCGCCAGTTTCCATTCATGTGCGCGAGTTAACTTTATTCGCAGGTGAAATTTATTACACTTTTGCGATTACTTAACATCCTGAAATCGAAACGTATCTCTTTAAAACCCCGAGAGCTTCGCAAACGAGTCGAGCGGAAAATGTTCGTGCGAAAATCTCTTAATACAAACGCGGATCATGAAGTGCACACCGCGGGAAAACCCAACCCTCGAGTTCAGGATCCTATTGACTTATGGCGCTTTCGGTTTGTCGATCCGTCAAGAGGGCGGGAGATGGAGAGAGAGAGAGAGAGAGAGAGAGAGAGAGAGAGATCGAGCACATGTCTCTGTTTAATAAACAAACCCCAGTTTGATTTGCATTGCGCGCAGTCACGCTTCGGTCGCGGTGCGAATTTCAACGCGGCACAAGCTGCTCAGCACTCGCTACTCAGTGGCCACCTGAGTAACGTGAGATACCTGAACAATGACGCTGCCCTGGGACGCATAATGCGCCGGAATAGAAAGGGCTTTAAGGGACATTCCTGCCGCGCCTGCATCGCGTCGCGTCGTTGCGTTGCCGCGCCGCGCGCGATTCCAGGGTCGAGTACCGCTGTCAAGTGACAGCGTGTCTCCGATGTCAAAGCATGCCCGGTCGTCGTTATACAACGTGATCAATCCCGGCAAGCCAAGTCGCCGCCGCCGTCTCTGTACCATACCGTCTTCCTTCCGTCTTCCTCCATTCGAGCGACGAATGCAATATTGTGGCCTCGCTGCCGAGACACTCGAGATAAAACCACCCTTTCGCGCAATTCCTTTTTTTTTCCTGGTGATTTTCAAAGGTCGTGCATTCCTAGAGGATTCTTACATCCTTTTTTTTTGGAGTGTAATTTAATTTTTTACCTACGCAATTTGAAAGATTCAGCGCACGCCTTTAAATCATGCATTCATATCACACTTTGTAACACCTATAGAAAGTTTCTTCAATTTTTGAATTGTAACATACGTTCACGTATTACTATATATATATATATATATATATATATATATATATATATATATATATATATATATATATATATATATATATATATATATATATATATATATATATATATATATATATATATATATATATATATATATATATATATATATATATATATATATATATATATATATATATATATATATATATATATATATATATATATATATATATATATATATATATATATATGTATAAATTTATTATGTATTTGGTACAAATATAATCATTTGCTATAAACTTTAAAGAAATAGCAATTTAAATTAGCTGTGGTACATTTCTTCTCATACAATAATTTTTCGATAACTGAAAATTGAAGAGCCTTACCTATATATATTTATATCTTTACTCTATATATACTTACATTATATATTTATTTTATTTTATATATAGAGTACAATTTTCTACAGTGTTTCCCTCTTTTATATATCGCGCAAAATTAGTTCGCTTAATTCGACGAGAGATCGTGTCTCTCATTTCACTTTTCGTGTTCATTTCGACATTCATCGAGTCGCTTTACCATTCGTGCATTCCACGCTCACAAGTGCCTCTTCGCATTAGTCGATGGGACAAATGCGAAAACGAGATGCCGTTTCGCGGCGCGACTCAGCCACGTCGACCGGATGATCAGCAAGTGGAAACGGACGAGCACGCGTCCGGCCTGAATGAAATCGGAGGCGGACTTGTGAGCGGGTGGATGTTTATTTGAAATAGGATAGCCATGAACGATTGCGCGCTCCTGATTTCGAAACCCGAGCAAGGTGATCCGTGCATTGAACCTCGAACGAACAGCCAGCGAAAAATTTGCGTCCACTGTTTGCGGTTCGGGTGTATCGTTCGGCGACAACAATTGGCTTTGTGCGATACGAGAAAATAAGTGGACGAATCGGGACGTGTGGAATCCAATAATGAAAGCAATACCCGTTTCGAAGACTGATATGTAAAGTTCTTGACCTTTTTTTTTTTCAATATCGAATATTTATTAATTAAAAAAGAGTTTATTTTTTTTCTGAATTGTACGCACAATCATATATATTTTAGAAAGGTTTCCAAGTGTATTGTTAAATTAGAACATTGAATCAATTATTTTTACTTTCTTGCAATATTATAAAAATATGAAAGGAATGATATTCTGATATTCCTAGAATTATAGACGACACATGCCAAGGAGATAAACGAGAAGTGCGATGTCTGTGCAGTAAAGCGCTATCCGACCTACAACCTCTTATCTTGCAACCTTATCCTCGCCTCTTACTGTCAACTGCATCACCTTTGAAATCTTATCCGCCGCTATGTACAATCTTCTCAGAATTTATATTAAACAACCGACCTCTCCCCATTATTGGTTTATTCGTACGTTGTGAGGCAAAGTAGCATCCGGCGAATCTCGTAAACGTTCAAGAAAAGCATTCGATGCAAAAATCTCTCTTCACAACTCTTCACGAACGTAATTTGCTTATATGTAATATGAATCTAGGATGCCGAACGAAATGGCATCTTTTCGTTTTAGAAAGAAATTGAATTTAGCATTCGAGATGAGTCGAGAATATTTATTGTTAAATATGTTTAAATTTGAGAATAATATTTTACGTGTCAAATTATTCTGATATTTGCTTCAGGCAATTTGAACTCATGAATATTACATTTTAAACTAGATAAATAAAAATATTTATAGTAGTTCTCAATTTATAATAACTGGCATAATAAAATTATTTATAATGATTGGTATCTTCTTTCTGCGTAGTCTGCTCTTCAACCGAATTCATATGCAGAAACGGACAGTGCATCGACAGTAACAGATACTGCGACAGCGTGAACGATTGTTACGATGGATCGGATGAACACAATTGCCGTAAGTATTATTTCCACATCCAAAAAATAATCGCTCAATCATCCTACAATAGTTATTTGCATGCGTGGATTGTCATTTTAAGCTTCTAGTAGTAGTGGTACGCTGTGTGGGTGTAATTTTGACAGTTCTTTATCCTATTTACAATATGAAAAAAATTTGTCAAACGAATTAATATGGTTACACTTTTGCACGACTCACAACAAATCATTAATTCCTTTCATACGAAAATGGTTATAGTACAATATTTCTATAAACTTTAAAAAAAATATATTATTTTTATATTTAAAATGGCATGCGCATTATGGAATATTTCCTTACGATTTTAAACGTGACGAATATCTTTTTTATAATATAATACAAATGTATGAAAGGGATTAATAACAAGTAGAAATAAGTTTCATACAAAGATTATTCTCTTAGCATACACATTATGAATTTACGAGACCTATACGTAACGATAAAAGTATCTTCACATGAAATCGTTATATATAATACTGACACACGTCCTCGCACATACCAGCGTTATTTATCGCCGGCTAACATTGCACGTCACCTCCGCATGCGACTGTGCCGGAACTAATCGCGAATGGGCCTCGACGTATTACGATGAACTCAATAATTATAATAGCTATGACAATAACAATAGCGTGCTCGGAAAAAGAAGGATCGTGGTGGTTAGTGGTGTTGCTGTTGCCAGTGGTGGTAGTAATGATAGTGATGGTGATGGCGATGGTGGCGTTCTTCGGCCCCGCATTTAAGGCCGTTGCACCCTGTGGCATCGACATTCGTTTTCCCTCCTCTTTTAACCCCATCTTTGTCAACCCTCTCTTTCACAACCACGTCAGTTTATTATTTCCGTTGTCTTTTGCGAAGGCACGCTTCGTGGCTGATCCGCCGTGTTCAACCACGTGCATCACTAATTACACCCGGTCGTTACGGCCTAATTTTTTTAAGAGCCGAGTTTGAGAAGAATTACGAGGATGTACAGACTGCGTACAGTAACACTGAAAACGAAATTCCGTTTTAAAGTATCTGTACCAAAAATTAAATCATCTGAAAAAATCATCATAATATCTGAAACCTGAAATCATAAGAAAGCATTTTTATATCCGCTCATATTACAATGCAAAATTACAAGTGTATTCGGGCTTGTATGTATTATTTTGTATTTGTATATATTATTTTGTAATTTATGTACAATAATTTATGTTACAAATATTAACATTGTAATCACAATTTTCATGCGACAATAGTCCATTAGCGGAAATAACCGTAATATAGAACAATACGTTTAGTGACGCGCACTATGATTATACAATTATTACAACATTTAAATGTTTATTGTACGGAAACTACTGACAGTAATTAATCTCAATAGCATGAGCGCGCATCAGTAGAATTGACAGCCGATCGAATTCTTATTCATCCTGTAGCATAACTCATCGTACTTACATCATTAGCGGCGTTAATGCCGTCGAGAAACGCGAGGGAGAGGTAAAAAAAAAAAAGAGAAAAGAACAGGGGAAAATGAAACACGTTGCGTCCCCCGCCGGAAATCCGGGATGGCCCCTTGTCGAACAAGATTTACTCGCGTTTATTAATCCGCCCTAATAACCGGCCGCAATTTTAATCCGACGTTAATCTCCACGGGCCGTTGACGTTGAACGTCGGGTCCGGCCCTTCCGTCATGCTCTGCCCCAGAATTTCGCATTTTCACCGTTTTAATCCAATTTTGATTCGCGACAAGAGCGTCACGCCCGCCCCAAACTTCCCCGAAAAACGGCCCGTCGCGAAATCGTGCCAGACCACTCGCGAGAGAGTCATCATTCCCGCTAAATCCTTGCGCGAGATTATATTTGTTTCTCATTGTCCGAACGTCGAGACGTTATGTAACTTGTCATTAAGCGGATAATATTTTACGGCTTATTTAACGGATCTAAAAGTTTTAATGATTGTAATAAATTTATTACTATTACATAAGATTTTATATACTTTCTCATATACATTTTTTTACTGTCACGACGAAAATATTATACATTTATATTATATCATAATTATCTTGATGAATTCAAAATTAGTTTAAAATTACAGTCTTTTTAGGTAAATCGTTAATTTCTCAAATGCATATTCTCGCATCTGGTACATCGCTTTCAGATTACCCGGATATTTACGAGAGAGAATATTGCCGTGGGGCACCGAGTGAACGGATTATTGAACTCGCGGCTCGTTTGCAATTCAATCGTCAAATGGGTGAGGCTTCAGGGCAAACCTTGAACCTAAGATGATGTCAGAAATCGCAGAATCTCCCGCTCTCTATGTCGTTTTATCAAGCGACTCACGACTCCATGTCTCATTTTCGCTTAGAGTCATCAGGATGATCTAATCTTGTTTTTCTAACCAATTAAAATAAAAACTAAATCTTCTAGTGTGCTAAATTACAGCAAAATCATGAATCTTATAATCTGTCGTATCAATTTTCTGCGAAAAATTCATATTAAATAAATTTTTTATAATCGATAGCTGTTACTCGATTCGACGACAATTAAGTGGATTTAATCGAAACTTTCGTAATTTTATACCGTCATATGATTCGGTGGCGCGATGAGAATTATTTATTTTGCATCGCGGTTTGAACGCTGATAAAGTGCCATTTTATTTTTCCGTAATTTTTTAATTCTGATTTTTATTGCTCTCTATTTTTGAAATAACCGATTAATTTTTCTACACTGCCGGAATGCTTCAGATCGCAATGAATATTTCTGTAGGTGAGACCAAATACGAGCAATCGTGCAAAATATCATAATAAACGATACATTAAATACCTATTTATACTGTTATTCCTGTTTTCTCTCTTTCCAAGCTTTCAGTTTATAACAATTTAATTTAACGATTAATTTACGACAATTTAGTATTTTTTAGATAAATGCTGAAATTTTTGTCGCTTTTATTGTGTGCTTTTCACACTTCACTTTAATCACTGTTCTTTATGATTTTTGGCAACTTATATCTATCTATGTCCACGTCTGTATTTTCTCTACGTGTATTCATGTAATAACAATCATCGACATGGATAAATGTAAAGGCGATTGTTGGAAGTCACGCAATGTTCTTTTGCGACGATTAGGTATTTTCAGGTTCTTTTTCTCTCGTAAACTAATTGCTGCCGTAAATTAGAATACGGTGGAAGGTACGACACGATTGACCGTAACTCCTTGTTCATTTATAATCTCTTCCATGAAATTTCCTCAAGTGCGTGCTAATTAATGGCCTAGTACTTAACGCGTTTCGCTCGGCCACTAATTAATTCTTCAAGAAGCTTCTTTTATATTATCTGACATTATCGTGCTATGGTTTTACATTGAAATTATATCTTTCACTTAGAAATACATTAATCTGATATTAGATCTGTTTTCTTCGACTGCACACTTGGCTCGAAACAAGCATATGAATATTTAATCTTTGGAGGGAAAAAATAGGAAAAAATGTTATAGAAAATTTTTAATGCAGCTAAAGTAGAACAGATCTTTTTAAATGAAATTTTTAATTGTTATATTGCTTACTCGCTTTTTCCTTGCTTATGGAAGAATCTAATTCTATAAATCTCTATTTTTTTCTTCAACATCAACCAGGAATGCAGCTTAATTTACTTGCCGGAAAATTGTTAATCATTGTCGGTAATCATTGTGCTTTCTTCGTCGTTTATGTCTCTGTGTTACGTCTATTCGTCAGTTTATGTCTAATCCTCGTTAGCACAGTAAACGTCATTCTCAGCTGTGCTTGTACGTGTCATCTCTCGAATTGACCCGCGTCAGTCGGGTCATCGTGCCGTTGTCGGCGACATAAATTTTCCCAAATTAGCCTGAATGCAATTCTTACAGCCTGCAGGGAAGACCAGTTCGAATGCTCGCCTGGTTATTGCGTGTCCTTATCACGACGCTGTGACGGATATACGGACTGTAGTGGTGGAAGGGATGAACAAAATTGTCACAACATGAGTACGAATTATCACTATTTACTCCAACGAGCTGCGAAACGCCACACTCGCGCCGAGCATGTAAATCAATTACTTGGGTTGGAATCATGTTGTCGCGCATGCGTGCACACTAAGTGCCCTTTTAATAAGGACAAGAACTTGTTTGACTTGTTGATCCACTTAAAAAAAGAAAGAATATTGTGACATTCTTTTCTTGCTACATCTGGATGTCAAACTGCATGTATGTTGTAGGCAAACACGGTAAACGATGACACTCCAATGTATTATAGGCAAATATGGTCACTGTGAGATTCCAATGTCAATAGTTACGGAAACACGAAATATAATTGAAAAATTTAAACGTTTATTTTATTTTATTTTTTTTTGTCATGAAGCTTTACGAAAAAATATAGAATTTGATCAAATTTTGAGAGCATCAGTCTCGTGTTTTCGCGTTTGTATGACCGCATTGCAATATATACGCGTGGCAATATACGCGCATAGATACTGTAACGTTTCGCAACACATACACACACACACACATACACACATCTTGGCAGTGAGAGGTAGGTATAAATTTTATTGCATCTTTGGATAATATGTCGAAAGACTACGTATGGCACGCGCGAATTTTCATTCCACGACTTGAACGGTGCCTGCACAGCATAAGGTCTGAGTTTCTCGCATTTTTAACTCATTAGGAAGTAGCGCATGATAATTTACACTGGTTACATGACAAAGTTATGGAGAAACTCGCTGGAGCAGGTTTTCGCACTTGCAATAACGCGACGGCGATTCTTGCACTTAATTATTCATGAATATGTGGTAGTGCATATAGCCGCGAATTTACTCTCCGCGAGACACCAGTCACCGGCGCGAACAGTTAACAGCGGAATAATTGTTATCCAACTGTTACGAATAAATTAATTTTACCTTAGATAACCGCGCGAAAAAAAAAAACTCGCGCGTTTTCTGGTACGATCAGATATTTTCAAAATTGGACCACGATATGAAATGTAAATATAATATTAAAATAAACTAATCGAGGTCTGATTCGTGATCGAACGGAAAAAATATTAATAAGAATTACATATCAAAAATATATGTTAAAAATAATTCGCGAATTCAACCTTAATAGTATAAATTACATAAAATTCTGCGAAATGTATTTAGAGGATATAAATCACGCTTTATCGAGTCCTCGTCATACTTCTAGTGACACATTTCAGATATCACATTTTTGTGATGCGATAAATAGCTAGTCACTTAAACATCGAGCAGACAAGTAACGCGACACAACGGCCTATATTTACCGTAGGTCAAGTGGACTTTGGCAAACAGTTTTTAATTAACTAAAAAGCGGGCTATCGAATATTTTCCAACGTGACCTGTATGCAATTGATATCGCATAAATTGAATAATACTTCAGTAACTGGTTCAAATTGCGACAATAATCAAAAAAGCTTTGACAATCAATAGCTCTTCGTTACTGTTTTGGACAGAGAAAAAAAACTTTTAACTAAATCAAAATATTGCTGGAAAAGTCACCATAAGAATATTTGTTCCGTATATTTTTTTATTGACTTATCCACTTTTCTCATATCCACTTTTCTCTTATTCACTTTCCTTTCTCTCTCTCTTTTTTTCTTCTTCTCTCTTATTTTATTTATATATAGATTTCTACTTTTTATCTTTTTTAAATAGCACGATGTCGAGCGGACGAGTTCGAGTGCGCCAGCGGTTCGTGCGTCAGTAAAAGCGCAAGATGCGATGGACGAAACGATTGTCTCGATCATTCTGACGAGTATAATTGCAACGGTATATTATTTTCTTTTTTTAATTTATACTGAGTTTAAAAGTCTTATACTGAGTTTAAAAGTTTTATACTGATTACAATATTACATTTTATTAAGTTCCGAGTAATTTTTAGAAATTATATTATTTTTAGGCACAGACAGAAATCAGAAATTTTCAATTTATAGAATATTACATTTTTTTGTTCAGCTTTCAAATACAATATTTATTATCTCACAATAAGATTATAAATATCATTTTGTAATCATTTATTTTTTTAAAGCGTTTAATATGCATTGATCATCTTGTAAATTCTACGAAAATAACATTGTCTCTTTTTTTATGACTTTATATTGTTGTTTTCAGTGACCACCTGTAGCGGGGATCAATTCCGTTGTCTGGATGGTGTCTGTTTAAGTATCGACAAACGCTGCAACGGATTCCCTGACTGCCGCAACGGCGAAGACGAACATCAATGCGGTAAGCTAACTCGTTTTTTCCTTCTCTTTGAAACGTATATTTACTCGATCGATTCTCACACAGTGAGAACGCAAATAGAATATACTAAGGATATTTCAATGATGCGGATTTCAAGAGAGAGTCCAAGTTATTTAATTCCTTTATTATCCCCAACAGTATTGTCTTCGCTGATCGTTGGCGATATAAATTGTATGTTGCGGCATGTTTACAACTAATTGTGATCAATAATCACTTTTGCACGCGCGACGATAACTCTTCCGCAATGGTACCAGCAATAAGTTGCCGCGATAAACTTGCACCGATGCTCTTTGTTAAGTGTCGGTTACCCAACGCGATTATTTACGAGCGATCGAGAGGGGCGCTTGACCTTAAACGAGCGTCAAATGCGCCTGCGAAGTTTGCCAACAAGATTGCAGACATTCTTCAATAAGCCTCGCGCATAAATTTAATAGTGATCTCATTCGAACTCGAAACTCGCGTGCATTGTAAAAATTGTGATTCGTACAGATCGATTAATATTCTTTTCAAATTTCAAGAAAAGACAACATTTCTTTTTTTTTCAATATATCTCGTCGCGGACGAAAAATTTTTTACTGCGTTGCAACGGCAAAATTTGCGAACAGAAACTGCCATGTATTTACGCTTGTACGTAATTATACATCTGGCGAGCAATTTGAAAACCCCGGCGTGTTGGTTACGCCATTGCGCCCTGTAATGCGAATACGTAAACTTAATTTCCTCCAGCACGCTTCGCGTGACTTTCGATTTACGATTTTCCACGCTGACCGAACTTTACGTCCGGCGTGCAACCCCGAAAATAACGTCTTTTCCTAAAATAGTTTAGCCAATGTTGTTGCCGCCTTATCTAATCTCGGTTTCATTGCGATTCTAAACTGGGGCGCGCACACGATCAGTCGTGTGTGAAGAAGGAATTTCATGTATTCCAATAATGTATTCAGATCCGTTGCATAATTTACACAATGTTACTAATCAATTCCTAAACGGGTTTACTTTGACTAATCGATTTTTGCGCAAAGTAGGTCCAACGTCCTTACAACGTATACGAAGCAAAGATATTAATTCTCGTTGTCAATCGAAGATAGATCAATCGCGAAGATGAAATATCTACTAGTTGATAATATTTCGTTGTGTATTAATATATCTTTGATTGGGGGAGAGAACAGATTGTTATCTCTGTTCGTAAACTTTTTACATATTTTCCCTTCATTACATATAATATACTAACCTCAGCAAAAGCAACTCAGCTCAAAACATTTCACCAGGTAAAGGTGCGAACATTCGTTTCTACCGTCCAAGTGATATATCCGTACGCTATGCAATTTATATATTTTTGAACGTTAACTGCGTCATATATCACTCATAAATATGCTATTATCTCGGTGGAATCATCTACCATCTTCACTCGCAATCAATTTGTTTCGACACGCGTCTTGGACGGTAGATTCGGAATAATAAAGGGCTTGCTTGTAAGCCGCAAGCTCTAAGCGGCTTGCTGGAGAATCACGAACGATCTTGAGGATGCGGGTGGGCTGACACGCGTCAGTGGGCAATGCATCTTTAAATGCGCATGAGTGTGGTGTATGGAGCAGGTTGCGGAGATGCCGAGTTCCGCTGTACGGACGGTCGCTGCATCGGCTACGAGTTGCAGTGCAACGGGGTGAACGAGTGTCCTGACGGATCCGATGAGAGGGACTGCGGTAATTATAACATCATTCCACCAAATCACACAAATTGCACATTCAACCGTTCTCTTTCTCTTACATATACGATACAGTACATTACACGCACACAAACCTAATTACATCGTACTTAAGTGCGTGCACGAAACGAAACATTACGAAGTACATTCAGACGTTATAGGTATAATAGCGCTTACTTTTTGCAGAATATTCCGTTACCATCGTGAAATTTTAATGACAGATTTCTTTCAATTGTGATTTAAAGTCAGTAAGATTGAAACACTTTTAAAAGAGAAACAGAGATTAATATAGAGTTGCATTATACAAAAGAATTTGTTTAGATTTCAATTATTAGGTAATATAAAAAAATATAAAATATAGAATACAAAATAAAAAATATTAAATATTAAAAATATTCGAATGATAGCTTTATGAAAATGATTAAAGAAAAATTTTAGTTGATTGTTATAGCCATTAAAAATTATACAGATTTTGTTTTCGCCAATACTTTATTATTATAGTTGAAATAAAAATCTGACACTCTAAGAGTGATATTCGACGAACTCATTCTCTATCGATTGCGCTGATTTATAAAAGTAGTTTTCAAGAATTCTTCATTTCTTCGTGATGATGTCTTTTTAATCATACTTATCACGAAATCGTGCATCGTCGTAGAAAAGTATCCATGGCGACATTACTATAATGCCAAAAAGTTCGACGCGATTGCATGGAAGTTGTGGATTTTCTACGGGCGAAAATCTATAGAACGCCGAAGGAATATGAATATGAAACCCGAAACGACGGAAAGTGTCTATCGTCTCACCATCAAGCCAACCATGATGATCGGTAAACCGATCTTGGAAGCGTTTCCGGAAGAAGCTCAACGACGGAGATTCCCAAACTCCACGCTTCAAAATTCCTCGACATACTCGACAAGAATTGCGCCCAAATCGAAAAATAACGAGCCCAACTCGTCCTCGCAGCACGACTCGAACAACGCAGAGTTCGGTCGATTTCGCAAACCTGACACGGAGAATTGCAATGACAATATCAAAATTCGTCATTTAACTATTAACCGTGCCTTGCCGCAATTAAGTTCCAATCCTAAGTTTTTAAAGTTGTCGGATAATCTTATAAGATCGTTGTTGAGATTAAAACATAACAACATTTCATTAAAAGATATTCGCTTACAATTTACCAATAATCAGAATAGAACGCGAAAAATAAAAAATGAGAATAATCTCGATCATAAACCGAGAAAATCGAATGCATTCAATTCAAACATGACAATTAATTCTTTATTCAGTTCAAAAAAGAACAGATATGCTACGGAAAAAAATATTTTTAATATGAAAAACTGGAACATTAAAATAAGAAATAATACTTTTTTTAAAAATAAAGAGAAATATTGGAACAATATTAATATGACAGAAACGAGATTGGAAAGAGAACAGAAAAAAGTTAAAAAGATACCGGCAAATATATCGAATAGAAATCATATTTTCAATAATATAAAAAGACCGCATCGCTTCGAAGATACTATTTTAAAAGCTACGAAAAATGATACCGTTACTCCACTGATTAACGATTGGATTTACAAGTTTATTACTGAAGTTACACCCACATTTCGACTGAATAATTCGACAGCTGCTGAGATTTCGAATAAGACAATTTCTGGAATGGTAACAGTAATAAACGACACTGACATTAATCGATATTTAAGCGTAATAGATGTGAATCGCACACAATCTAAAAAAACAATTTTTGCAACTGTGAGCACGACTGAAAAAATTCATGAAAATTACTCCTCGATGAAGATAGAAAAATTGCTGTATGAATCTAAGTCTCCAAATGTAGAGTTACATCGGTATTTTCCAACTATTAATCAAACCTTTATAAGCACTGACAGTATCGATAAAATATCAATAGATCCTTTGACTTCAAATTATAAATCGATTCAACAAAATCGCGATCGAGGTAAAAAAAAGTATAGCACGAGGAAAATGAGCAAGCAATCAAATAGCACTTTCGAAAGATTCTACGAAAGTAACGGAAACTCGACGGAAAGCAACGACAAGATTGATCCCGGTTTTATAAACTCCAACGAAACGCCCGGATCAATAACTATAGACGATTACGTATATTCAAAGGAATTACAAGAATCCAGGGAAATTCTGGAAAAAGCATTAAAGGATGACGTTCTGTTAAACTGGACGAAGGCGTCTTCGACGAGGGCTCCAGACATCGTCACGAGAAATGAAAACGAGTTGAGGATGGAAGAAACTGAAAAACACGGCAAACACAAGTGCAAAGATCGTCATAATGATCGTAAAAACAACAGGCCCAAGAAGGAGAAGAAAAATCACGATGCGAAGCATAAGAGAAAACCTACGTCAACCGCCGCTTGGACGGTCGACGAAACGACGAGTGTCGATTATAGCAACGATTATAGCTCAGAGCAGAGAAAGACTATGTCTTCTCGTAATGATTCAGGATATGACAAAGGTGACGGTAATCGGAATACGAGCAGTGACAAGAGCGACTGGCACCTTACTGATGAAATTACAACGGAACCTCTTAAGATGGAATCCTCTAGCGTTGATGAGTCCGTCACAGAACACCTCATAGAAGACAACACCACGGAAGGACTTCAGTCAAAAAGAAAAACGAATTTTATCACCGATGATACTACATTTCATTCATCAACAGCGTCTAAAGGAAAAAAATTTAAGAAATCTAAAATACGGATTACAACAACCACCGAAAACAGTTGGTGGTATGTTAGAAAAGTAAATAATAAAGAAGATGAAGAATTGATTAATTGTGAAGATGTTACTTCGTTTCCTGTTACAGGCGATTCCGAAAATAACACTGAAATAGGCAATTATAATATTTTTACTAACGACGATTATTTTTTCGCGTATGAAAAAATACCTACATCAACCAGTGCTATCTCATTCTTAAAAAATTTTGAGTCTAGAAAAAATGACGAACTGAGCAATATAGAAAAAAGTACAACGTATGATACGATTACAAATCAAAAAAATAAAGACAGAAATAGCACAACAGAAAAATCAATCTTGGATAAATATGATAAAAATAACGAAAGAACAAGTGAATGGTCCTGGAATAGGGAAAGTACTACACATCCTATAAAGAGGACTATCACGCACGATGCGATTTCGAATCTCGATAGTCTAGAGGAAGAAGATTCAACAGAGAAACCAATGTCCAGCGAAGACAACGAAATCGATAACGACGTCGTAGAGGATTACGAGGCCGATAACTGTAACAAGAATCAGTACGCGTGCGACAAGTACACGTGCATCGATGACGATCAAGTTTGTGACGGTATCGTAGACTGTATTAACGCCAGCGACGAGATTGACTGCGAATACATATACATGAAGAGATGGGAGGAGTACCAGAGAGTCAACGGACAGCTCGGGGAGTTCGACCCTCCGTTTCAGAATTCTATCGAGGACACGTCGCTCGACGGATGCAACCGTTATGAGCATCCTTGCGACGGCAGGTGCATAAACGCACTGAACGTTTGCGACGGCAAGGGAGACTGCCTGGACGGAACTGACGAGGAGGGCTGCCCGAACTTGGAAGGTACACCCTGTATAGAAAATAATATATCGTGGATCTCTCGATCTCCTCTTCGTCTCTGCTGTAAAAAGTTTCTCGCCTGAGCGAAACAAAAATGCGAGGTCACGTAAATGTTAAGCAAACGTGACGTCATTTTGGAACAACTTGTCATCTTTACTGTACAGAAAATGGCTTTGAAGATGTCAAAATGGCTAATATACGGATGTCTTTGGAAAATTGCCGAGATCTCTATCATGGGAAATATCTAAGAGACATTACTTTCGGGTGCTTCGTTTTTTATGTGTATTTTTAATAGGAGCAGACAGATGCTGAAAATCCACGTCATCTCTATTATGTGTAACGCAGCTTTACATTGTGTCGTCCATCTTTGCTGTAAAAATATTGCCTTCTCTATGGAGAGAGAAAAACGGCCGTAAAAGGAAAAACCCAGAAACGGCGACTTTTAAAATACAGCAACCAAAAACGATTATCTTATTTCTTACTAGATGATTGTTAGTTTATCTCTAATTCTTTTGAAACTTATTAAACTCTCATCAAAATTTTTCAAGAGGATATGCAATTGACGATTACGTAGGAATTGATATCAATGACCGCGTCAATTATCCTACATACAATATCTTTATGTAATCGCGATTAAATCGTTGATCGACCATTCAAAGCACAAATCCTCCCGGATAAAGCAAAATCATCTCATTTCCTCAACTCCATTTTTCATATCCATCGATACACATATATACTCATTCTCTTGTTTTTCATAAAGATACAGAATACATCCACGTCTCTATCATAAGTCACGGAAAGAGAAATTTCAATGACACCTTACGGAACAACTTTTGTTACTGATAAATCTATACATACCCAAACACTGTACATAATCCACGAATACGTTAAAGTAAAAAAGAAGAAGGAATGGAGACTGCCTAAAAATTTGAAATATTTTTATTTATAAAAATGTATGAAATTAATAAGGCAAACACACATATAATATGATAGTCTATTGAATAAAATATTCGATTTTATGATCCAAAAATAAAATTAGATTGTCTCGTATTCCTGCCTTCTTTTGTAATCGAAATTAATCTAACCACTTACGAAGGGCTTTTTCACGACGCTTTATGTGTTAGACAAGCTTCGAAAGAGAATCTTGTAAAAAGATCTCTTGATCGCAGAATCGCGCGTTTTACCAGAGACGCTTTTTATGTACAGATTTACGAGCTCTCTATTATGCCTAAAACTGCTTTAAATGTATCTTCGTATGTCCATAGCTTGTACATAATCTCAACCTCGAACTCGTTTGTCCCAGTCGCTCGTATAAAAAAAAATTATTTTATATTTTAATTACTGTAAATTATTTCTTTTGAATTTTGTGCTAATTATTTCTAGAGTATAGTAATTGCAATTTTTGGACATGACACAGTGATGTATATTGACTGTCATCTAAAGTTACCTAAAAATTATTTTCTACGCTTATTTAATTCGTTATAAATCGAATTACATGACCCGAGGTATCTTCGACTCCCAAAAATTTAAATTCAAAAATAAAATTAATGTTACGGCGACTGAATAACAGAATGACGCGAGCGTTGATGAAGAGGGTCTTGTTTTTGCCGGTGGCACCCTGTAGGTTTGGCCCCGTGCCCTCATATGGACTTCACCTGCAGAGATGGTTCTTGCATACCGAAGAGCTCGGTCTGCGACGGATTCGACGACTGCCCTAGGGCAGAAGACGAGCTTTATTGCGGTACATAATCATGTATACCTATATTTCATGCTATCTAATCAAAGGGAGATAGATAGAGAGAAAGAGAAAGAGAAAGAGATTGAATGAAAAAAAAAAGAGAATGAGAGAGTGAGAGAAAAAAAAAAGAGAATATATGTGCGGGCGTATGTATGTGAATGACTTGTTGGCGTGATGTCAACCGATGTTATTTTGACGTTTAACACAACTTGGGCTTTAAAAAAAATCTTTTTGAAGTGAAATACAATATTTTTGTAGCATTTTATTAGTATCGTTACGCCATTCGAACAATAACAAGTGACGCGTAGACTTTTAACGACAAACGCATAAAAATTGATTTTGAATAATTGGTGCGAATTATTTATTTGTGCACTCGTATGGTATTCGATTTGTGTATTGATAGTACAATTAAATTATTCAATGAAACACTATAAATCTATATGCAGTATTATATGTATATATATATTTTTGAATTCTAATAATTTTTTAATGTTGAATAATGCCTTGGACAGAATGATAGAAGAACATTGTATTATTTTCATATATAGTTATATTAATATTCGTTATATCAAGTTATATCATCACGATTTATTCAAGAGTGTAAAAGTTGTGATACATCTCTTATTCTTTCTCTCTTTCTTTACACCATTTTTTTTTTGAGTTTCTGCTTTGCTTGCACCCGATATGTACAAAGCTTGCCACTGAATCAATCGCTTAATTATTTTACTTCGTTGGATCCAATAACGAACTTATTCCGCATTGGTTAGACACTAATTATAGAAACGCTTACTTGAAATCTGGATCAAACGTTAACTTAATCAAGATTGATGATTTTAATCGCAGATCTCAAGCTCAAATACTCGAATGATAAAACCGTTTTAATTTATAAGTTAATTTTTATAAATGGAACATTTATCAATTAAGATATTTAATTCTATCCATCATAAAAGAATTATATTAACCGTAAACTATATTTTAATAATTAAATTATCATCTAATTGAAAGTATAAATAATTGTAAATATAAACTGCGAACGTAATATCTCTGCGTTTAAGATCTTAGCACGTACATTTCTCTATTATATATAATTATGTAAATAACTCTACTATTATCCTAACGCATATTCCTAATCCTTCGAATTTCTCTCTTGTACAAGGTATAAATAAACTACAAAGAGCATAAAGTTGCAGTATGTATAGAATGTAATTTTTCCTTCAATTAATTAACGAGGTAATTTAATTATTCTATTATTATAAAATAATTTATTCATTACAATATATTAAAAGTAATAATTGAATATATTTTAACATGCAATATAATCGATTTGTGAATGATTTGTTACTTATTCGAGCGGCTCTTTGTGTCAAATTTTACTGTAAAAACGCGCAAATATTATTTTTGTACGCATCGAATATGCATGGAAACAACTTTCCGCAACGTTTGATACTAAATACCAGAATCGGCTGACAAACGACCTCATAATGGCGGATTATTATATACATTTATGGGGAGCTAATAATCGTGTATCCTCCCACAAAAGTGTAGTCGATCCCCACGCGGAGGAAAGCTATACTTATGGTCACGACATATTTTCCGCGTCGCGTGCACGCGACATCGTAATCCGCATTAAAACCAATACAGCGGGCGATTTTTCACGAGCATTTTATCCAACTCGATATAGAAGACGATTCATGCTTCATAAACATGATCCAAAAATATAATTTTCCATGCTTCCTCATCCATATCAACCGTAACTGCCAACTGATATTCTCGTTACCCCCCAGAAGTAGCTTTTCGCTTTCGTGATGTGATAATACCAGCCAAAGCTATTAATTAAAAAATATCTGGAAGTAAAAACGAAAACCGCACGTCATTATCGTATGGGGAGCCTTTTGCTCCGAAAAAGTATAAAAGTGTGCGCGTGGCTTTCAGCTTTAATCATATACATATACTATATATATATATATATACATACATACATATATATATACATATATACATATATATTGTATATATACATATATATGCACTAGGGTCACTGTATGTGTAAAAATGTGTGTGTTCTTTGCGCATATGTTCGCTGAACAAAACAAAATACAGAGCGGGAATGCACGCCTAACCAGTTCAAATGCGCCACCGGGAACAAGTGCATCGAGGATGTCTACAGGTGCGACGGCCATCCGGATTGTCCAGATCACAGCGACGAGGACTGCGCTCCATCCGCTAACGACACTACACACACCACTTCGCCTACCACCAGTACGCTCCTTTTTCAGTGTGTCCGTCGCTTCATTCATGATACATTCACGCAACATCCTCGTCTAGACTGTCCCGCTAACGCAGAATACGGCTGAATCAGCTGCTTTGACGCATTCAATCTCTGTATTTATCATAAATGATCGAACTTCTTCGCGCCATGGATGCTTTTGTGTTGACTAATCACAGTTAAAATCGTATCGCGTCTATATTTTTAGAAATATATGAATCACTGATAATTTTCTATTCGTAACTCTATTAAGCGCGCGACGTTTCTTTTAAATGCAACTACTTATACATTTCTATAGAAAAAATATCGTCGAGCCGGTATTATAAGAAAATTTCCTGCCTTTGCTCAATGTCCGTAACGTTTGGTTTCGGCCGGATCCTCTTAAGGAACTCTTATTTACGTAGGACAAGTGGATCTACCTGCTCGCGCGCGGTTACACCCTAGACGATGGTTGCATTTCATTGTACATTTCTCACGATCAATCGTTTTACGACCGTGGTCGAGAAAGCGATTCTCCGTCTTGTCTCCGCTTCTCCAGAGAGAACCAACGGGCATTGTTATATTTGTCACCGTATCGGACTAGAAAAATTTATACGCGTATGAAACGGGGCACTAAACTTTATCGAGACAACTTATTGAAGATGGAAAGGCTCCCTCTTTTTTTATTCGGCGAATCGTGCTCTCGACGACGGCACCACTTTTATCGATATCACCCCGAGTGCGAAGGGATCGGGAGACACACCGGAAACGCATTACCCCGCGAATCCCCGCGTACGGAAGATTCACGGCGGTCGTCGATGGTATGTTCTCGCCCGTTTGCGCCGCAAATCGTCGCATATACATTTATATAAGTAGCTGCATTGCGCATGAACTTGTACGCTCAGATGCAATGATAGTATTTGACGGGAATGTCTTTAATCGTGCCTCTGAATTTTTTCTCCCTGCGAACTCTTTATTATTTTTACGGCAATTATTGATTCTCCCTTTTTTCACCTTCTAATCGTCGAAAAGATAATAAAGAAGTAAGAATGGAAAATTTGGAGAATTTGATGAGGATATTTTCACTTGGCATTTCTTTTGCAACACTTTGCCACATTTGTGCGATTTTGCTTGCAAGTTTGGTATCCTCTTCTTTCTGAGTCCTTGTTGCATTCTCAACTGCATTACAGTTGCATTTATATATGAGAGAAAGTGGGCGCCTTATATCTTGTCTTTATACCCTTAAACTTCATCATTGGATGATACTCCCCTTTCCTCCTGTCACTTCTCCCTTGAATGTGCCTGTGTATACGCTCAGACTCGTCCGATCCACGCTGGACACCGACACGCAGGAGGGAATGCGATCTAAGGACGGAAATGCGTTGCGATGACGGCGGTTGCGTTCTCCTACGGCATAAATGCGACAATGTCTTCGATTGCCTCGATGGCAGTGATGAGCGGGGCTGTGGTAAGGGCTTTACCTCTCACAGCCCATCTTTCTTTTCCTTTCTTCGCATACTTATATATTATAACGATGACAAACGTTTCCTGTGTGATATCTTTTCTCCATATACTTATATTAACGATGACAAACGTTTTTCTTTCTCTCTCCCTCTGATCTGATAAGTCTATATATAAATTATCATTTGCTTACTGCATATATGTCAAATTCATTTAAATATGCGAGAATTTTTTTAATAATATGGTTATTGACAAAGGAATTTGAACAAGTTGGATACACATCATTTTTTTCTTATCAAAGATAAGGAAACGCTTTCTTCTTCTATTTCGTTAATTTATTTGTCATTATTTTTAAAATTATTAAATTAGAGAGAGTGTGTGAAAATTTGTTTATTAAAATTTTGTGTGTGAAAATATAATAAGGTAATTAAGATCTTTATATTTACATATCGATAACGTTTGTCATCTTCAACTGAATTTAAAAGTTCATTGTAATATTTTTTCCAAATATTCAATGGTGCCATTATATTAAAATTAATTAATTAATAAGTGTAATTTTTACATATCAAAGATTTATATACATCGAATCATTTCTAAATATATCTTTTAATTTTTTTATTGTATTTAAATTTATTTTATTTATATATTTTTTGTATATTAAAATTTTGATCAATCTTAACAAGATATATGTTAACGTGACAAGCGATTATAATGATGCCATTGATGATTCCCCATTATTCCCTGATCCCTAACGCTTTTTGCGGGAGCTTTCGACGTGTCTGTGTTGTAAAGGGCTATGTACACCTGCCGAATGGAAGTGCGCCAGTGGCGAATGCTTGCCAGAAAATCAAAGGTGCGATGGAATAACGCAGTGCAGCGACGGATCCGATGAGGATCGATGTGGTAATTATATGATAGCTTTTGCCCGCAATTATCATAAAAAATGGCCTTCTCATTGCTCCAGCTCGTTATATGCGATCGCACGCAATGCAAATTTTACAGATCTCCTCATAAACAAAAATATTACGAGCCTTATTTATTCATAATTTAATTCTCGAATGTGATTATGTATTTCGATTAGAATAATTATTTATCAGATGTAACACATTATTTATATAGCATGTCTGGAATTTTTTTTTTTTTGTTAAAGTCATTATCTCTCTCTCTCTCTCTCTTTAATAGCGCATATTCTTCTGTCATTTTTGATTAATGCTTGTAAATTAACAATAATTTATTTTTTTATTTTTGTGTATAAATTAATTGTTTTTGTTTGTATAATTATAATATCGGATACAATAATAGTAAATCATTATTCTCATTCTAATCTCTATATCTTTCAATGATTCCTCTTTATAAGTCAAAAATGCATTTTGGAATCCTTAAATCCTGAATCGAGACTACAATACTCTCTGCATGAGACTGCCCAATTGATGTCGCATTTATTTGCGAACAAAAAGAATCCTTGCATATAATGCATAATCAGCGCGATATCGCATGTTGCATTTTGTCTATGTTATAAATAACGCACGTATTTTTGAGAATATGATCGATAAAAATTTTCGCGCATGCTGAAACTACCGTAAGCAGATCACGATAACATTAATTGAGCGATGCAAAAAGGGTAAATATCACGACGGATTCATAAAAATTAATAGTTTTACTATATACTTTTCCCCTTAGAAAATTATTAAAGGAGAATGACTATTATGTATAATAGTATTAAGTAAAGTGCAATAATATACTACTAACAAAAGGATAAGTAGCATTTGTATGAAAAAAATTCATATTTGTATAATCCGCGACAACGTTCATTATTATATTTGTTTAACACTTAAATAATTATAAATTGTAGTATCCACGATGTGTCATATATATTTGTTTTATTGTTTTAAATCGGGGATATTATTGAAAAGAAATCTTTTTAAAAAAATCAATTATTCAAGCAAAATCATATTTAAATTTATATGCAAAACGTTTTTTGCAAGAAAATAATGACAGACTTACTTCTTCGCATATAAACTATGGCGATTATTCAAGTGTTAATAAAAAATGATTATCATGCACGGTGCGAGCACGTTTCTCTTACATATTATTTGATTATCTCGAATGAATTATCTTGCGAGACAACGCGGTGGTAAGGCCATTTTTTTTCTTTCTCTCCCTTCCTCGTGTGCGTAGCATGCACGACAATACTCGACATGGAACTTGGTAATTATTGTAGTAACCGAATGTCGGGCTGGATGGTTTCGATGCAACGATGGATTGTGCCTCGACAATAAGAGACGTTGCGATGGTCGGCCGCATTGCTCGGACGGCTCCGACGAAATCGATTGCCCTCGTAATGGTTACAATTTGGCTTTATTTCATGTATGCCGAGGATGATATAGACCTAAGCCGAACACTCTTGGAACGAAATCGACATAATACTGTAGTTCCGACAAAGTACCGCTTCATAGCTACTTTAGACGCCGTCTGAATAGTCTAGCGGTATCTCTTTAATAGTATTGCATTGAGCAAGAGAGAATTAGAGCAAATTATTAATATTTTAGAATTATAGAATTTCTTTTCTGTTCTCTGTTTGATTTCTTCGGAAATTTTGGTTTTCTTTTGTAACTTAGGTCTGTGTCCTTCTTAGCGCATTATTTATTAGTAATTAGGAATCGCACGAAGAAAGCTTATCGATAATTTATTTCGTGGATTTTAATAATGATTGCACGCATAATCTTGTAATTATAATTAAAATTACACATTAATTGATTAATAAAAATTAAGATAATTTTTCTCCGTGCGATGTTTATCCTATTTTTAATCTCTACGTAATACTACTTTCTTCCCCTTATTACCTCTTTCTATCAGCATTTTCATCTCTCTCGTAGGTTATTATATAATACTTCCTGCAATATATAGCATTCTTGTTATGGGCATATGATACTTATTCTTAGCGACTTAACAGTAAATAAATGTAACTATTTGCTAATTTATTTGCTCATGAAACAGTCTTACGTTACTTTATCGTACGTTATAAAAAAAATATATGTTTGCATTTTCCAAGACTTGAAATGAATACAGGACTAAGTGTTACGGCTATCACAATTTCCTTTTTATTTATCTTGTCCTGAACTTATTTTTTGGTCTTACATCTTTACTTTTAATTTTCCTCATCAATACTTAATTAACTTTCTTTCATCAAGATTGGCTGCTCTGCCCCTGCGTATATTATTAAACGATAAAAACTATAAAATCTCTAAAGAGAAGTTTATATGCTTCATCTTTTGCATCGTTTTGCCTTGCGCATTTTCGCAAAATGTGCTTGCACTACCAGCAAGACGCAGCGAAAAATGCAGCGTATAAAGCACGCTCGAGATCTAATCATGCACTTGGTCGATTTTTCAAATAAGACCGCGATCACGAGCGACTTCTCTGAATGATCTATGCGAGATGTCGATCGTGAAGGACGTTTATAAATGTCTGTTCGTTACACGCAAAATCAACCGTCTACGACGGCAACTGCAACGGGTGACGACGACGAGGCCGCCTCGCGAATGACTTCTCGCGCGCTCGTCGGTGTTCCAAGTCGGCAATTAAGAGACTGTGTAACTAATATGGGTGCGGGGGCGCGTATACACGTACGCGAAAGCTGTTAATCCCATTTCGCCAGGCAAGTTTTAGCCGGACGTTGACTGGCCATTAACTCGAACACCGACGTGTCGCGGCACCACTTATTGTAGTCGGAGAACGACTCTGTGAAAGATGGATGAATTGAAATCAATTGAAGGAAAACTTTATCCGAAACACTCGATAGCCAATCTATTTTCGTCAAATTCAAAGATTGCTTTTGGAACTTTCAGATTTCTGCTAATCTTCTCTGTGTTGGTATACTAACTTGAATATAACGATAAAAAAAATGGAATATATTAGAATTATCAAAATAAATTTCCGCTCATTCTTCTTAATTCATCTTCTTTCACATATGTGATAAACAATTTCTCTTTCTATGTTTTAGCATCATATACGTATCTTTTCATATTTTAGCGTTTGGACACAATAAAATATAATAATAAAATGAGATACAATAAATTAATAATTAAGAAGCTATTAATTGGGTTTTATCGTTTCTTGTATTTTTTTATTTATATTTTATTTTTATATTTTATTGTGTCTTGATCCTTATAGCTGTTTGTGCCTTGATCTTGAATATTGATTACTAACCATAATTGCGCATATGACGTACATCTTGATTACCCGCTCGGACTTCTTGACATGCATTTTGCATCGATTATGGATGGGATCGAATTAATTCTATCTATTCTTCATTTCTCTCTGTCTTTCTACTTGTCTATCTGTATGCCTATTTATTATCTATTATCCCCCTATTTTCAGCACAGGTTGCCTAACCATTGAATTGCGCATCCGTCCGTATATATACATATCTATATTCGTATATATATGTATATATACGTTTCTCTCTCTGATACCCTTTTACCTCCGGTTATTTACGTCTCTGCAATTTTCCACGCCGCGCGTTGACGCGTGCACAAACCGCGCTCTGTTGTTGCCTACACCGCGTAGCTCGCGACTGACGTAACGCGAACTTTTGTAAATGTCACGTTTCGCACGATGGTCCTCTCCGCGTTTGAGAAACTAAGTTTAACCTGTTTAATAAAAAAAAAAAAAAAAAGAAAACAGAGCAACGTTCACGTATATAAACAGTAGTTAAAACAAAACTAATTTAATAAAAGAAGCGACATTTGTACGAGTTTACAACAGTTTTTCAGATTATGATTCAGCGCGGTGTGTAGCCTTGAAAAAAAAAATGTTTAAATTAGAATATGAGAGCACGCACGACTCTGTGAATATTTTCTCTCTTTTTTCTCGGTTTAGTCTATTTAATCAATTAAGGTGAGTGCGTGCAGCACGCGGCATCGCGCGCTCCGTCTCCATGTTTTCTCGAGATATACGATACACGGCAATGTGCACAATACTTATTTGACATGCCGCACCGGCGCACTTTTATCGCCCTCCGCTCATCGCAGGAGGAAGCACCTCTCGCGGGACACCTTATCGATCGATAATTATCGAAGGCACTTGGTCAGCCTCGCGCATCTAATTTCTTCGTAAGCGAGGGTGGAGGGTTGCGCGTAATACATCGATTGGCGTTCACAATTTTGTTCCGGCTGACTCATACGAGGGTATTCTTCATGACCTCGTTCGTCGACCTGGCTAGAAACGCCAAGAATGTCCATCACTTGTAGAGCAATTGTTATTGTAGACAAACGTGCACATTGCCACTTTGTACCGTTTAAACGTACAAGGGATCGTTTGTGCCTCTTTCGCCCCTATTTGCAATTCAACGGAGTTGATTGATTTTTGCAGAATGCCCCGACGGTCAATTACCCTGTGACAACGGCGTCTGTATCAATAAGAACTTCTTCTGCGACCACAGTATCGACTGCCATGACGCTAGTGACGAACGAGATTGCCGTAAGGATATCTTTAGATAGACACATTTCCTCCATATTACTTTAAAGTTGCAACATTCGATTATCCATTCAATATTACGCGTGAAATCCTATATCTCCTTTATTCTGTCACGCAGAATATTTTTCAATTTCTATAAAGTGCACAAGTGCATTCTATAACTCGAGCAATTAAATGAGATTTCTTCTTTTGAAGGGATATTTATAGAACTCCTTCCTTTCGTTCTGCGAATTTTTATTCAAGCAACGAATAAACAACTTTGATATAAAACGGCGTGTTGTTCCATTTTGTAGCGGATAGAGAAGAGACCGGCAGTTCTGGCCGAGAATGTCATCCTGACAGCTTTACCTGCAACGATGGCAGCTGCATACCTCGTACAGCGCTATGCGACGGCCGCGCGGATTGTCCGCATGACGAGGATGAGATCAACTGTCGTCAAGGTAAGCCAGTCTCTGAAATCGCACCACTCGGAATCGCCATATCCCTACGCTATACTCTTTCATTTAAAAAACTGCGTTAATTTAGGCCGAAAGTGATCGTCTTTAATAAAGTATTCAGAGGATGGATAGAAGGGATACACTCACTCTCGTTGGTTAATTCAGGTTTATCGATATGAACATTGTCAGCTTTCAAGACGTATTCATAGCCAAGATTCAAGACGACGTACGTACGGTTGGAGAAGGCAACCTTATTTTTCAACTTGCCCTTACGTCACTACCACGTTTATAGTGTTGAACGAATATTTTCTTGGACGAAGTTTGAAATTTAATCCTGCCTCGGCTATACTTCATGCAACGGACAAGTTATTCTTACATCACTAAGCTCCGCGCGTAAGCACAGCCACTAGACTTGCTTTCCAAATCGTCAGTGTAAATAAATCATGTTTCTAAAACGGGTTTGATACTTGATTTAAGGCGATACACACAAGACAGCTGCGAGCTTCGTGTGTCAAGACTATCTTTACGTTTAAGCTCATTTTATTAAGTCCCGATTATGCGTACGTCGTCTCCAGAGAGACGAAGCCTTTTTCAAGATTATCGAGCTTGGCGTATATCGTTGCAATCGCGCGGGTATCACCGATGACATGTTCACGTGAACACGGCAGCTCAGATTGAGTTACTTCTAGGTGTAGATGCCTCGGATAGAGCCTCCTCGGGGAGGCGTCCGGAGACGGGGGTGATAGCCGGTGCGAACCCGGATAACGAGACTTACAGCCCAGACACAAATGCAAATACTGATGTGCCGCCGACAAATTTGAGCACGCCGAGGAGTTGTGCTCCGGATGATTTTGTTTGCGCCGACGGCACTTGCATCCCCGAAACTCACCACTGCGACCATTTCTACGATTGCCGCGACTTTACCGACGAGCAATACTGCTTCGGTTAGATTATTTGTAGATCTTGAAAATCTGGTGATAGATCTGCTTTGCTTGATAAAGTCTCACACGATTCTTATCTTAATATTTCATTGATGAATTTCACAGTTATAAGGGAAAAAATTATTGCAGTACGTCGATATGTCAAAATTTAAATAATTATTTTCTCGCGTATGAATCCGGTTTATGAATTTATATTAACTCTGTCATTGTCTAAATAATGTAAAAATACAATATTTTATATGGATATTTTTTTTATTTTGGTATTATGTATCATTTATTATATTCTTCAGCGTTTTTGTCACATTATTTCGTCAGACAATAATTTTCAATCTTTAATGAGCATGTTGAAAGTTTTATACATCGATCAAACATTGAATAGTTTTCCATGATACTCCTTTCTGTGATATTCTTTTTAGAAATTTTATCTTGTCCTTTCGAGTATATTAAAGTTTGCTCTTTTATCCGCGAGATATTCTGAATATATTCTAAAATTCCTTCGAAAGAGGCACCAGATTTTCTTGAATCTAATATTCTTTTCCGCTAAATCTGTGTTAGCAGCTGAATAGAAGATGTGTAGGTTGTTGGAGTAGAGATTTGATTATATTTATAAAATTTACAATCAAACATCGCAGTCTTATATTATCCTTATAAACAATAGTGCATCTCTGCCTGGCGTAAAATTTAGATCGTTTCTTTTTCTCGTAGGTAGAGAGTTTGATATAAATCCTATTATAGCATGCATAGTGTGAGGAAAGTACATTTTCGTCTGTGCAATCTTCCTGTGCAAGAGAAAGTTTGTATTACATCTTGGATGGAAAGTTACTTTAGAAAATTAATATTTAACAATACCATTTTATTAATAGCGTCTATATGAATGCAGTGGATTAAAAAATCATAAATGTCTTTCCTCTTGAGTCCATGTTATATTGAATGATGAATTATATATAAGTGTTTGTAGATTGATAATCAGTGCACACGGTAAACGGAGAAATGCATTACAAAAAGCGAAAATGCATGAAGATACGTTGTACTTTAATTTATGAATTTACTGTGTGAATTGATTCTTAATATATTATTTAAATTTTAGATCAGAGCTGTTTAATATTTTAGACAAATATGAGCAAGGAATGAACAAAAAAGCACTTAATTAAACACCTCTATTCTAAACTCTACGTTTAACAATTTTTTCTAGGTAATCATTATCTCCATCGTATTTATATATTTCGACGTTAGATCATTGTTTAGATTGTAATGACGGACATATGATGGCTCCATGACTGACATTTTACATGTATATCTGTGTTTCTCATCTATATCGTTTTCTTTTTTTTTACGGATAAACGATTTGTGATTGTCTCATCGATGTACAATGCAAGCCTCTTATTTTAGGATGCACGCGGGACCAGTTCCAGTGCGCTAACGGAGATTGCATCCCCGCTAATCAGAGATGCAACGGATACATCGAGTGTGCTGATGGTTCCGACGAGCCAGAGGAATGCGGTGAGTATGTAATCAGTAACACGTAATTAATCAGTGTAATGAGAAAAAAGAAATCCTGCGCACATTGCTAAACTGGACGTAGATATGTGCAATGTTCAACGTAACTTCGATGTAATTTATAAATGTAGAATTTTTGAGGCGGCAAAGCTCGATATTCCATATGCAATCCCCTACTCGTCTTATATCTTTATTTCTTTATTTATTTATATTGTGTAGAGCAACCAGAGAAACCAGAACCAGGTCAATGCGTAGAGAATCAATTTATGTGTATTTCGGACAGAAGATGCGTTCCACAATCTTCCGTTTGTAACGGAATTCCAGAATGCAGAGATGGATCCGACGAGCATAACTGCGGTAAGTCAACAATATATTTAATTTAGCAAATCCCTAAATTAAATAGCCGTGGCATAAAATCGTATATTATATCGTATAACAAATAATAGTGCGACCAGATAAAAAAAAAATCGATAGATCCGCGAATATTTTGAGTTCTCATACATGAATTGATATACAAAAATTAATAATGGACCAAGTCGGAGCGATTTCTTCTGATTTATCCGCAACTACAGTCAAGATATTCTATGTAATCTTGCGAAGACGCAGAATAATGATACACATTTAACGACGAAACTAAAGATCAAGGAGCGGAATGCTCGGATGAGGAATGGCAGTGCAAGAGCGGTGATTGTATACCTCGACATCGACATTGCGATCGCCGAATCGATTGTCCGTACGACGATAGCGACGAGTTGGGCTGTCACTATAGGTCGATGCAAAGAAATCACAATATATGCAGCACGCACGAATGGACGTGCAATGATGGTCATTGCATCCCGCTGCATCAGCGGTGCGACAAAAGGCTCGACTGTCCTAGAGATATGTCCGATGAAATGGACTGCAGTTATGATAATTGTGAGTTAGTTTTCCCCGGTAGTTAGTTCTCAGATGCGAAAACCCGCCTTCGTAAAAGGGGATCATACGGTCGGCTGATAACACGCCATCGCCAATCAATAATATCTTGTAAATATCTGTGACACTGTAATGTAATATTTGCTGTAACATAATATTGTAATGTTTTATACACAAATACTATATTAAAAGCTTTGTTATCGTATTCGCAGTAAAGAGAATACGAATAATAAATCTGTTATACATCGTTTAAATTACAATTAAATTACAGTTTCACTTTTATCCGATAATACACACATTTTTAATCCAATAATAATAAGTGTTTATTTTATGATAAAAGTAATAAAAGGTAAACTAAAAGCATTATCTTTGTAAGTTTTAAGGCTTTTGTAACAATATTCAGTAATTCGTAGTATACACGTTGTATTATCTCACTGTATCATATTTCTAAAAAAATTAATGCCTAAATTAAAATAGAATTACATTTTCTTGTGGACGAAAAATGTAGAAGGTGTTGAATAGAAATGTCGAATTAACAAAGTTGATAACGCAATTAGTCTAGATTTTATATGTAGAATTATTAATTATTAATCACGATTATTTTACGATTACACAATAAATACACATACTCATACACATTATAAAGCTATTGTTTTTGTTTATATGCAGATACCGATGTAACATCAGATCTTAGGCTGAAGACATATCCCAGTGAACAAGTGATTAAAGAGAGTAAGTATTATTTTTCTTGTTTATAAACATACATAGAATGTTTATTTAAATTCTGTTTGTGTATTTGTTGCAATTTTAACTTTTATGTAGTCATTATTCTGTAATTATTTCAAAATAACCGAAAAAATCTTGAATATTTAGAAAAATTGATACATAAGAATAATAAGCAACAAGCGCCGCGTTGCCGATAAGTTTCGTATTTGAAAAGAAATTAATTAATACATATGTTTGTTATTTTTTCTTGCCTTGGCCAGACCCGGCGAAGCAAGGTAAGATTTTTCAAAAGATATAAGCTGCACAAATCATGTTTATAATGCTGTGGGCTAAGAAATAATATTCATAAATCATAAAATATGCGAAATTGGTAATACGATGCGTATTTTGATTATGGTATACATATAAGCAGCTACATGTATATAAGAATGTATCTTCGCTTATCGATTTTATTCTTATTCTGTTATGAATGCTTCGCCAAATAAGCAAAACAGAATATATTTGCTGCAATTTGAATTAATTGTTTAAAAGGTTTACTTTTGATAATATGTGTGACTATTTTAACGTGATACTACTATAATTAATTATAATTGTTTCGCACATTTCACAGATATATTTCAATTATAAAACTACAAGATATATAGGTTTATTTATAAGGTGTAACTTTGAATGCAATTAAATCTGTAACGAAGACTTTCATAATTTATCATTGTTTAAAGAAGCATGCATGCAGATATTGATTATGCATGATATAACTAATGTTATTTAAAATTCAAACTAAAAACTTTAAAATTTAAACTATTATTTATAAAAAACTTTTTTATTATTATCAGATATTTAATAATTCTAATTGTTACATATACATGCATTTTATTTAAACAAGCTCTTTCAATACTAATTATGCCGGATGTCTTGCAATATTTTCGCTATTTATATACATAATCTACAAGCATCGAATAACATGATTAAGAAAAAAAGATCAAAATATTGCACGGAATACACTAACACATCAATGTCATCTGAATTTGAGACACGGGGAAATTCACTTGCTTATTGACGGGATGTTTGATGTCTATCTCATGGACATTAATAAAATCCATAATCATCAAGGGTGCAATCTCTCGAAACAAAACGGAATTTATATCACGCAAAACCAATCGTTCCAATCAGGTCGCGAAGTCGTATTTCAATGCCGTGACGAGGGTCTCCTACGTGCCAGAGTACGTTGGATTCGCGGCAATGGTCTTCCTCTGCCGCCTGGCAGCCGAGACATCAACGGTCGCCTAGAAATACCCAACATCCAGCTCGAGCACGCCGGAACTTATATTTGCGAAGCCATGGGTTATCCACCGTCTACTCCGGGCCGTCAAGTGAACGTCATTCTCACCGTCGAGAAGTGTACGTTCTTCTTCTTCTTATCTTTCTTGATTTACGATCGAAATATAAGTTATTTATAATGAAAGAAAACTGTAAATTGTTAATGAATTCGAGGTTATTTTAATTGATCGAAGATTTATCAAATAATTAAATCGATCGATCCCATACAGTTGAACAACCGGCCACCAGACCACCACAAGTGTGTCAGTATGATCAAGCCACCTGCAGCAATGGAGACTGTATTCCCAAATCATACGTTTGCGACGGCAAATTTGATTGCACCGATGGATCTGACGAGATGCGATGCAGTGAGTACTTTCCAGAGCGACACTTGATCGTATCGGCCATTCATATTTTATGATACGAATTTCACGCGAACGTCAAACCGTCCGTTTTCGACAGGTCCACACGGCTGCGAGCCCAACGAATTCCGTTGCAATAATAAACAGTGCGTCAGCAAGTTGTGGCGTTGTGACGGCGACAAGGATTGCGCAGACGGTAGCGATGAGGAAAACTGCGCGCCGTCTCCCCCGGGATCCCCATGCCGTTACAACGAGTTTCCTTGCAATAGCAACAAACAGTGTATCCCGAAGAGCTATCACTGCGACATGGAGCGCGACTGCTTGGACGGCAGCGACGAAGTTGGATGCTGTCAGTATCGATGAGTATTTCGTAGGACACAAGACATCAATATTTCATCGCCGGACTTTATATCAAATAAACTTAACGATCAATAGCAGCTAACTTTGACGAAACAATGAGTATTTTAAAATTAATCATTCTTCTACAAATCTTTGATATATTTTTATCTTGTGTCTTTTATTTCATCGTGTCGCTAAAAATTATTTGACGAACTACCATTTTTATCAATCATTGTAACGTTACAGTGTCTATGACCGATCCGTTCTTATGTACAGCTCCCGTTTACATCGTGAAACCACCACCGCCGATGGTTGTTCTCGAGCCGGGCGAAATGTTACTTCTCACTTGCACCGCGATCGGCGTCCCGATACCGGAAATCAACTGGCGACTCAACTGGGGACACATCCCCGCGAAATGTACGACCGTGTCCACTAATGGAACGGGTACACTGACATGTCCGGACATACAAATCCAGGATCAGGGCGCGTATTCGTGCGAGGCGTTGAATGTCGGCGGTTTCGTTTTTGCCGTGCCGGATGCTATCCTCGTCGTGAAGGAACCTCGCAATGTTTGTCCGAAGGGCAAGTTTAATTCCGAGGCGAAGGTCATCGACGAGTGTATCTCGTGCTTCTGCTTCGGCGTCGCCACCGAGTGTCGCAGCGCCGATCTTTTCACTTATCAGATTCCACCGCCGCTTGACCGCCACAAGATTGTGTCTGTCGAGACTGTTCCGACAATCAAAATCCACGGCGACATCAGCAACCAGATATCTCAGATCCGCCCGATCGGTCGAGATGGCGTTCAGCTGCTGGAGTCCTTCAGCAACGAACTGAACGTCTACAACGTTCCTTACTTTGCCCTGCCGGAGAACTATCACGGTAGTCAATTAAAATCCTACGGTGGCTACTTGAAGTATTCGATCCGTCACAGCGGTAACGGCACGCCGAACAATGCACCTACCGTCATCTTGAGCGGCAACAATTACATCCTGGTGCACAAAGGTAAAGAGCCGACGCCAGAATACGAAACCGAAGAATCCGTCAGATTCTTCTATGGTGACTGGTACAAGCAACAAGGAAGAAGCGAAGTCCCGGCCTCCAGGGAGGAGATCATGATGACGCTGGCAAACGTGGACAACATCCTTATAAAGTAGGTATTTTGTATCGCTGATTATTATTATTACGATTTTCTTCAATTCGTTTATATATTTCAGAGTGAAATACAACGACTCGCCGCAGTTGGACGTTCGTCTCACCAACATCGTGGTGGACACCGCCGATGCACGAAACACCGGTTTAGGATCTGCATCCTTCGTCGAGGAATGTCAATGTCCTACCGGTACATACTTCTTCAACGACCATTCGTACTTTCATTCATTTACTGTAAAATTTCATTCATTTTGCTCATTACTTTCTTCAAGGATATACCGGTCTATCTTGCGAGCACTGTGCGCCTGGTTATCTGAGGCGAGAGAGTGGACCGTGGCTTGGCCAGTGTTATAGAGACGAACCTCCGTGCCCTCCAGGATACTACGGCGACCCCTCAAGAAACATCCCTTGCCAGATTTGTCCTTGTCCGCTTACCAATCCATCAAACCAGTAAGATGCGAATCTACTAAATTTATACTATGTTACCGATTATCTCTTCGACTAGAACTCGCTTTCGTAATTCAAAAGAAGAGGTATTAAATAAATAAATAAAAAATCACGAAAAATAGGTTTGCTCGCACATGTCATCTTGGATCTGATGGGCAACCTACGTGCGATTGTCCCGCTGGCTACGTTGGACGCAGATGCGAACAATGTGCCGCCGGTTATCAAGGGAATCCCCTTATTCCTGGAGATATGTGCGTCCCGCTTCAACAATGCGATCCTAACGGCAGTCTTAGTCCTAACGCCGATCCACATACTGGAAAATGCCATTGCAAGGTACTACGTCGATAATTATCTTTTCATATGTGTAATATTATATAGAGTAGCCCAGAAATCGCGCATTTCTATATTTAACTATAACTATTTTTAACTATACGTCTTCTCTAATTACAAGAAAAAAAAACTTTTTATGGGTAAACTATTTCATCAACAAAATCTAAACAAAATTAATTGCGCTATTTTTCAAACATTTTGCGTAACGTTTTTATCGTTGTTCTTGCACCCATCTCGTGGATTTTTTTAACTTTGGAAATGTAAGTACATTATACAGTTCTTTTATATGCAGATATATATAAATCGATATTTAAAGTGAATGAACCCTTTACATTGCGGTCGAGAAGCACCGTCTATTCTCTGATGGTCTGACGTTTTCTCTTTCAGCAATATGCAACGGGTCTCACTTGCAATCAATGTAAGGCGAATACCTTTAATCTGGCCTCGACAAATCAATTTGGATGCATAGCTTGTTTCTGTATGGGTATTACAAACAGATGCGTCTCTTCTAATTGGTACAGGAATGAGGTACGATAAAGATATTGAAAACATTTTTCTAATAGGAAAAGTTGCATAAGCACGATTTCATGTTTCACACATTTTTTATGTAATATAAATTCGCGCAATTTGCACACAATATTTTTAGAAATATAAATTCCTTATAGAATTATAAAAGTGAGGATTTAATCCATTATTTACGCATTATAGATTCGTGTATCGTTCACCAATTCGATTCGAGACTTCTCTCTGATCGAATCCAAGAGCACCGATGCGCCAGCCATTGTAGAAGGAATTCACCTAAACACTATCAGCCGAGAAATAATCTACAGCGACTTCCCGAACCGTGGAAACAATGACGTTTACTATTGGCAATTACCCAGCATTTTCCTAGGGGATCAAATAACATCTTACGGCGGTAATCTCAAGTACACTGTCAGATACGTTCCTTCTCCGGGCGGTCAAAGTTCAAGAAATAACGCCGCGGACGTCGAACTTATCAGCGTGAGTGCTTATTCGCAAATTTTAATCCGCATATTCAAAGATGAAAATATAATGGGTAGTGATATATATGTGTATTATGTGTATATATACAGGCAAACGATATCAACTTGCTCTACTACTCTCGCGAGTCTCCCGAGCCAAACTCTCAGCAATCGTTCACCGTGCCGTTACTCGAGCAATATTGGCAACGCAATGATGGAACACAAGCGGATCGAGAGCATCTTCTAATGGCTTTGGCAAAATAAAATATAATTATCTATGCCGTATTAAAATTTTTAAGGCGCTATATAAAAATGTTCGAAAAATATACAGATAAATTTTCCGACATCTTAAAACGAAATTTGCAAAATTAATTAATGTTTAATTAAATTAAAATTGAAAGCAAAATTAATTGGAGAAACCTTAAAGAGTCTTGATTTATTAGGCAATATTGTATATATTTCAGGCTCTCCTTCGTATCTTTGGACACTGCCGAGAAGTACAACACGGGTAAAGCGCGCGCGGTCGAAGTTGAAGAATGTACTTGCCCTAGCGGCTATAGAGGACTTTCCTGCGAAGATTGCAACGTTGGTTATACAAGAGCCATCGAAGGTCTCTACTTGGGTATCTGCGAACCATGTAACTGCAATGGTCATTCAAATCAATGCGATCCTGAGATTGGCATTTGCGAGGTAATAAAAGCAAGTTTAATAAAGCGATCATTTTATATTTCAATAATATAATTAATTATTTTATTACCTCGGATCAATTATATTATTTTTTCAAAATGTATAAATGTATCTTTTAGTGTATCTTTTAGTATCTTTTATAAATGTATTAAATTATAAAGCTAAAGAGAGTAAATATAATTAAAATTATATCAGAATATATAGGTACATATAAATATTTGCATTATTTGATTATTTAAAGTTGATTGAAATATTGACGTTTTGCGTCAACAGAATTGCGCTCATCATACTACTGGTGATTATTGCGAAGTATGCGAACCGGGATACGAAGGGGATGCTAGCCGAGGCACGCCGAACGATTGCACGTATAGAAACACCCCCGAGCCATGCAGATGCAACGACGCTGGCTCGCACAGCACTTCGTGCGTCGACGGCCGGTGCGAGTGCAAAAGGAATGTTGAGGGTCCAGAATGTAATCGGTGCCGCCCGTCGACATACGGATTACGTGCCGAGAATATTGATGGATGCATCGAATGTTACTGCAGCGGGGTAACTGATCAATGTCACGAAAGCACATTGTACATACAGCAAATACCGATGTGGGTGTACGACTCACATCATGGTTTCACTCTCACGGACTCGTAAGTATAATAAACGCCCTTATGCAAATATAATGTCTTTTCATTTTTTCATTATACGTTTGTCTCTGAGTAGCTTTGATTTAATACAAATAAATAATATAAATTTAGTTTAACGCAATTAAATAAAATATATAAAATTTATCAATCTATTTTTTATGAAATAAAATCGATATATGATAGGGAATAAAACAAAATTTTTCAATCTCCAAATTTAATACGACACTTGGATTTTTATGCAGGACTAGACGCGACATAACCGATGACGGTTTCGAGTTGAACGTGGCTATGAACGAAATCGGTTACCGCTATCCGGATAGCAGAAGCCGCAGATTGTTCTGGTCGCTGCCGAGCGTCTTCACCGGAAACAAAGTGAAGAGTTACGGTGGAAACTTGACCCTGACACAGCATATCACTGCGTATCCTGGTGCTCAGAGTTACAAAGATCAAGATATTCTCTTGATCGGCAATGGCATCACATTGTTCTGGACAAATCCGACAGAGCTTCAACCCGATATTCCGCTGGTACGTATAATTTACCTGACGTTTTGTAATTTAACAAAGAATTGATAAACTTGATATTTGGACTAAAGTAGAATTTCGTGATGGCAAAATATATTTTAACTCAATAACAATTTTAGTAAAAATGTTCTTACACATTTTTTAAATAGAAAGCTAATCGTTATTTACAACGTTCTTCTCATCTTTTATTATCCTGTTAAATAATGCGCCAAGTTTTATTAATAACGTAATAGAGAATAAATTCGAATATTTTACTATAAAACGTGAAAGCAATATATGCATTTTTCAGACCTACTCCGTTCCATTGAAAGAAAACGAATGGAAACGATTGACCACCGAAGGACCACGAAGCGCTTCCAGAACGGATCTCATGATCGTTCTCTCGAATCTGGAAGCTATCTTGGTTCGCGCGTCCCACAGCGAGCGTATGACCGCGACATACATAAGCGACATTAGCATGGATACAGCCGTGGAGAATCTAACCGGAGAGCGACGAGCGACTCAGATCGAAGCCTGCCGCTGTCCAACTGGTTACACAGGAACTTCTTGCGAAATCTGCACTCGCGGTTATTACAGAGACACCAACGACCGATCTGTCAGTTATCTGGGCGCGTGCAATCTCTGTCCGTGCAACAAGAACGAGGAGAGCTGCGAGATCAGCAGATCCGGTCAGGTCAAATGCCACTGCCTACCGGGTTACACGGGACAATATTGTCAAGACAGTGCCGTCGGTAAGCAATAGCGCTTTTTATGCTTGAATTATCGTATAAAAAGTAAAATATTAGTGTTTTTTATTATTTTATTTTTTATTACTTTACTTTATTACTGTTTTAAACCTGAAGATTTTTAAACGAATAAAACATATGTTATTATTTTTTTTATATATTTTTTTAAATCAAATTATATTTATCAATAAACTTAAATCACTTTTAACAAGGAAAATCAAAATAATCGCACGTAACTCTATAATAGTCTTTTAATATTGTTTGTGAGTGTGAACGAAATGAGAGCGAAATTTTTTTATCAATATTATATTATAATAAAGAGAGATAGCTTTCAAGTCTGCCTTGAAAAAAAAAATAACCAGTAACGATATACGTTGATCAGGTGAGCTCATGGTAAGCCTAATGCCTATGAAAGGCGAAGTTGAACCGTACTCCACGATCCAATTTACGTGCAACTATGACTATCCAGACATGTTTTACATCTATTTTAAATTATCGCCACTTAACGGGTTTGCCATAACTGCGAGAGGTGACAAACCCAAACATATAGTCAAGACAAAGAAAGGAGCTTTCCGCAAATGGTCTGTCCACGTGGGAGGCACTGCTTGTAACGTCGAGTGTCACATCGTAAACTACCGTGGCAAAGAACTGGTCAAGATTGTGACATCAATTACGCCAGGTTTGACGGACTATATAGCGAGAGCTTTCATATCTTGTCCGTCCATCGATGATTCATAGCTCAAGAAGAGTGCTATGATCATCGCTTCACAACTGCGTTGTCGCTAGGTAGACTGTCATCGTAGATCGTCATCGAATTTGGTGAAGAAACTTTCTTCGGTGAAGGATTATAATTCTTGTCATGGTTCCGTAGTTTTTCGCGAAATTAGAATTTGTCGTCAAAAGCTTAGCTTGACCTTGGTATATGGTATCACGAACGTATTACGTACTGTAGATATCGATGTATAAAATATATGTGTTTTGTAGCAATTAATACAAATTATCATCCTTCGGAATAACGATGTTTTGTCAAGATGTGATGGGTAGTTGGCTCTCCGTATCATGGAGAAATATTTGTATTTCTATTCTATTTACTACAGTGTGTCCATAAAATTGCAGATTTTAATAATGTTCGTGTCGTCTCTCTGCTATTATGCTTTATCTCGTTTTAATGTATCATCGTGCTAAAAGTTCGCTGCAATTATTATGATTTTATGAAATAATTCGTTTATCTTAGAATGAAATTTTACTTTAATTTTTCTCAGTTGGAGAACCGCAAACGACTATTACACCTGGTCCAATACCTCCACCGAGGATTATAGTTTATATTCAAGAACCGGAATTCCAGATTGTTCACACCGGAAACACCGTCAGATATCATTGCTCGGGCAGATCCATAGATAGCGTAAGTCTTTCATCAATTTTTATTTTATAAATTTGTTCTCTTATTTTATTACCGCAAATTTTTTTCTGTCATTGGAAATAGAATTCAGTGAACATTAGATGGGAGAAAGAAGGTGGTCAATTACCGCCTGGTAGAAGCGTGGACGACGCTAATGGCCTGTTGGTCATTAGAGACGTGAAGGTATCTGATAGCGGCATATACGTTTGTCAAGTGAGCGATGGAATAAACATCGGACGAAAGAGAGTCACTCTAACTGTTGGAGGTATAGCGTGAACACGATTAATTTTATTTATCTTATTTATCATGTCATCTCTCATCGTATTTTACGCTATTATAAGTTCCTCGAAATCAAATTAAAGATAGTATTTAAAATATTAAATATTATATAAATTAGAGATGTTATTTAATTCTCATATATTTTTATATATTCTTATAAAATTTTTGTATTGTATTGGATGCAGCATTTCCAAAACACTTGCTGGAAATACCAGGTACAAATCATAACCGCGTTAAACCGTTCATGAAACAGATTATAACTTTATACATCTTATTTAAGGAGCTAACTCGGTAGAACCTAGAATCGTTATAAGTCCATCGTATCAACAAGTAAGAGAAGGTGAACCAGTCGAATTCCGCTGCGAAGCTACTGGTAATCCGCCACCTGAATTGGATTGGATTCGAGTCCACGGAAGCATGAGTCCGGAAGCGACATTCTACAACGGTATATGGAGCCTTCCAGCCGCGTCGAAGAACGACGCAGCCGAATACAAGTGCATTGCTAAAAACAATATTGGCGTGGATGAGAAGACGACCATTTTGTATGTTCAAGGTACGATCCAATCGTGCATTTCAGGCATCTTAATATTAATGGATCTCAAGTTGCCACGCATATTATGAAAATTACTCAAAGATTGTTATTTAATTGCTAGTACTAATTTAAAATTATTTCCGTAATTATGGCTCTTACGTTATTTTCGAAAATTATCATGTATTACAGACAATCCTAATAAGCCGCCACCTCAAGTTTTACCGCCAACCGTGACTCCGTCCGAATGGTCCGGAACCATCGGCGATGTTGTCAGACTAATTTGTACGCCATCTCAACATGCGAACGTCACTTGGACGAGATCTGGCGGATTACCGTTGCCTTATACAGCCAATCAACAGGATGGGATTTTAACTATAACCAATCCTAGTCCGAACGATTCCGGCATATACGTGTGTACTGCGACAAGCATACGAGGAACGGAAACGAGCACTTCCGCTAGAATAATGATAGTTCCTCGCAGAGACCCACCCACTGTCAAAGTCAGACCTGAACGGCAAGAGGTGTCTCAGGGCACGATTGCCGAGGTGCGTTGCATTACCAGCGGAGAACCAGGTGTACAAGTGAAATGGAGCAAATACACAGAAACGATGAGTTCGCGTGTGCAACAAGTAGGAGACACGCTTAGGATCATTAACGCCCAGGTTTCCGATCGAGGAGTATATATCTGCCGAGTTACTAGCTCTACAGGCAGTTACGAAGCCAGTGCCATAATCGAAGTTGAACGTAAGCCCGTAGCTTTCTTGATATATAATCCAATATGTGTAATTAATTTTAAAAAATGCTAAATTTACAAAAAAATGAAAGATTTCGAGAAATCAATTATAATATAAAGAATACAAATTCGTGTAAATAACGCAGATTTAAACTTTTTTTCATGTATTATAATTGATATTTTTCTCACGCAAATCTGAATAAAAATTTATTTTTATTTCAGCTCTGTCTTTTACTATTTACAAAACTGAAAAAAAGACGAATTGTTTATTACAGCTCGCGAAGCTCCAGTCTTAGAGCTGTATCCTCAAGACGTCCAGACGGTCATCCTCGGCGGTTCGGCCGATCTTCAATGTCGTGCGAAGGCTGGCTTCCCGGTGCCCGAGTTGCACTGGTCTCGTCAGGACGGCCGACCGTTTGCTTCCAACATCGAACAGCTTCCTGGCGGACTACTCAGACTGTCGAACATCACGGTGAACGACGACGGCGCCTATATCTGCTCCGCGTCGAACGAAGTCGGCTCAACATCAGTTATCGCGCACATCGAGGTGCAATCTCTGCCTGTGATCACTATTACTCCGAAGCACGGTATTTTGCAAGTGAAACGCGGAAGTCGTGTCCGTTTAATGTGCAGCGCAAGTGGTTATCCGCAGCCTAACGTAGCTTGGAGCAAATATGTGCACGGAGTGACTATACAGTAAGTTGACTTCAATATCGTTATGCGATATTATGAACCTTGAATGTTTTAAAGTCGTCGTATAGCTCGTGAGATGAATATATAATTAATTTTTTAATTTTTAAATTTTTATATATTTTATCAAACGTACAATATCATATAAGCCAAACAGCAACAGAAGAGATATAAAAATGTATTTAAAATTTAAACCTGAATCTATACTTTGATTTGATTCTAATGTGATTGCTATTAGAATGTTAAATAACATTTGAGAAACCTGTAATTTACAGTGACACATACAGCAGAACAGCGGCCACTCCACTGAGCGCTGTATATGAGATATTCTCCGTTTCATCCGATGACGCGTATTCAAATACGCATCGACGACGACGATGATTATCCTCCTTGCACTGGCGAGAGAGGCGATATTCCGTGCGACGACCAACGTCCTGATAATGTGCGTATACTGTTACTCCTCAGTATCAATACCCTGATAACACATTTTTAACGATGAAACGCGCGATTTACAGAAAGATCCGAATCAACAAGGAGTGTTGATTCCCAAAGACTACTTGAGGATCCCGAACGGTGGCAAGGTGGAGATGCGTTGTCAGGTCCTCGGACTCGACGGTGATCAAATCTATCTGGATTGGAAGAGGAGCGATCATCGTTCGTTGCCGGAAGGTAGCACAGTGCACAACGGAGTATTAAGCATTCCGACCGTCGACAGAAACGCGGCCGGGGAATACATCTGTTTGGGTTTGGATCCTGCCGGTACCGTGCTCTTCAGGGCGAAATCCCATCTTGAAATTATATGTGAGTATAAAAAATACATGGCATTAATAGAAATAAATTAGAGAAGTTAAATTTCTTAAAATAAATAAATTCACAATCGCAGAAACTTTGTATAAAAAGCTTATAGTTCAAACTTTTTTATTTTCTTCCTATTTTATAAATTCAAAGCTGATAATTAATTAATTCAAACGAGATTATTTATTTCGTTCGATTTCTTCTAGCTCCGCCGAGAATCGAATTAAATCCCACGCGTCAGACAGTGGGACCCGGAGAGAATCCATCCATAATTTGCACCGCCACGGGAGACGAACCTCTGCATATCGTGTGGGACGCTATAGGACGTCCGTTGCCGTATTCAGTATCGCACAATCGCGGCATCCTACAATTCCATGGTATCACCTATTCCGATGCCGGCAAATACGTGTGCAAAGCGACGAACGGAGCGGGAACAGCGGAAGCGGTAGCAGAAGTTTTAGTCAATGGTCAGTAGAGAATTGAATAAGGAAACTTAAAATAATCGAATAATATATTTAAATCTGCAATATATTATATATAATGCACCATGCATGAAGAATGCATTCATTAAATATTTAAGAATTATTCGAGAAAAGCAATCTCTTGCTATAAACTATGAACTATATGGTCGCGCAATTTGCAGAACATCCTTACGACGACACAGAAGTTCGCGCTGAACAGAGAGACGTGGTGACGCATGCTGGCAATTCCGTGCGTTTACGTTGCGTGGTACGCGAACGTGCGACGATTCATTGGAGTCGAGAGGGACAAGCCTTGCCGAGCACCGCGCGAATTGGAGAAGATTACTTGGAGTTGACGCAAGTGAAACCAGAAGACAGCGGAAGATACATCTGTCAAGCCCAAACCAGCCGCGGTGTATCCAGCGATTATATTAATTTCAACGTATCTCGTAAGTTTCATTGTGTTTTTCACTAAACTTTGTCGTTTCAGCATCATTTCATAAATCCTTGCTTCTATTTGAATGCATCTATTGAAGATCACAATGCACATATTGACGCTAAACAATGTTTCGCCTGTTAAAAAATCTTAATCCTTTCGGGATTCTGTAATCTATAACGAGAGATATTATCGTACATTCTGAATCCTGAAAGGGTTAAAATTATAAACTGCTTGTTTTTACAAGAGATTTTCTTTACTATTTCTGCGTGATTTTTCAAAACAATAGAGAATACTTTGAATGGAACTATTTGAAGATTTCAATTTCTCGTTCAATATGGGACCAGCTTGAAACCGTTATTTTCACGTTTATCTTAATTAAAAAGGAATATAATTAACATTACAGAAAATTTAAATAATAAATAATAATATGTATATCTCTCTATATATGATCGCGAATTATTTCTATTTTTTATATATACTAATCCAAAGCATCACTCATATCACTGACAAGCGCATATCAAATTGTTCCCAGACAATACAGATAACAAAGATGTCGTAAAGACGTTCAAAAAGATGATTCTTTAGCTTATGGATTTTTGCGTTGTTTGGGCTATATTAATAACGAGGTAGCACATAGCAAACGTGGTTTCTTGAGAACGTCTTCACAAGTTTAGATATTTTTACAAAGCTCGCGTTATATGATTTAGTAGTTAATTTGCTTGCGGATTGCATGCCAGTGTACCGATCGCAGTGCAGGCACTGGGAGTATGAATGCAGAAGTCTACAATGCATTCCAATGGAATACTTTTGCGACGGATATGTTCAGTGCAACGATGGTACTGATGAACGCTTCTGCCGCAACGCGCGCTATCGCCAATATCTTCAGAGACGACGCGGTTTGTTTTGAGATATATGTGTCGTGTGATGTCTTGTAGTTCTTCTACTTGTAGTGAACTGTTCTTTATATACTCTAGCTTAATGTACAAAAAACTACAAGAAAAGGATACGAATCAAAATGTACTTTTGGCTAGAGACCAGACTTAAAATAATAGAGATAAGTGGAATAAAATATTAAAATGTTATACGAGTTCCGCGATCAGTCATCTTATATAAATTATATAATTGTACAAAAATATATATGCAATGCGTATCCCCTTCTTGTCAGCACCAAAAACTTATTTTTAAATGAATGTTTTTATACTTCAGATTTTATAGTTAATATCTCGATGTTTTTAATATCCTTGCAAAGTCGGTATTATTTCTTGAAGAATTATCATTCTAAATAGCTATTTATATAATAATCTTTTGCTTAACAAGAAATAATTTATTTTATATAAATTTTTTGTGTAGCCTTCCATTTTTCTTTTTAGATTTTTTAACATAATATAAAAAGTTTAGATAGGGAAATATAAAATAAAACAAATAAATCTCGCAATTCATTTCAAACATCGATTAAAGTTTTCATTTTTCTAAAACACAATAATATCCTGTGTAAAAATCAGGATATGTATATATTTTTCTAATTTTACAATTAATCGTAACGTGTAGCCAAGACATACAATTCAATTCTAGCTGCCGTCGTGCCATCAATTAGCGTCGAGGTATCTCAAGATCCAGTAAACATCGGTGATACAGTTGATATACATTGCACATGTACTGGACGAAGCCCACGTTATCACTGGTCGAGACCGAATCATGTGAGCCTGCCAACAAACGCGCAAGAATATGGCAATGTCCTGAGACTAACTAATGTAGCTGTCACCGATAGTGGACCTTACAGATGCATAGTAGACACGCCCGAGGGTACATTCGAAAAGGACTTCAATCTGATTGTTCATGGTAATTACTAATAAATATTTACGACAACGATAGATATACATACATATGTACGCAACAAATGCAACAATTATAGAATATTTGATATATTATGTGTACATATCTTTTAACATACATCTGTTAATGCATATCTTTCTATTCTTTGCCAATGCTTACTCAAATTTTACGTACGTTTTACGTAAGTAAATTAATAGAAATTGCGATTCTATCGTGAAAATTGTTATGGACAAGGACTTTTATAATTCTTATTGTTATACTCAGGCGGAATTCTCGATGAACCAGCGATTGAAACGAAATTTGCGCCGCACGGATCGAGTCTAGAAATGGATTGTCGTATCGATCTTGATCCACCAATACAATTTCAGTGGAGTAAACTTGGTGGACTTTTACCACGTGATACCCAGACTTTGGAAGTACGTAAAATTTATATATATTAACAAATATATACCTCTGAAATCTTTCTATCTTTCTCTAATTAAATCTTTAAAAAATTCTACGTATCCAAGATAAATACATATCTTGAAAAAATTACTATCTTATGATATATATTTTTTTTATTTTGCAGAACAAATTAAAATTAACTAACGTCAAAGCTGAGGATGCTGGAACATACATTTGCGTTGGATATAATGGACAAGCGCGAGTAGAAGTTCCTACGGTGCTGGTCGTAACAGGAGTCGTGCCTAATTTTAGTCAGGCACCCGAAAGCTACATCGCTTTTCCGCCTTTACCCGACTCCTACCTTAAGTTCAATATCGAAATCTCTTTCAAACCAGAAAATTACGACGGCATTCTATTGTACAACGCCGAGTCCGTTCATGGCAACGACGACTTCATTGCTTTATCTCTAGTTAATGGATATCCGCAATTTAAGTAAATAAAAAATCTTTTATATATTATATATATAGAACATATCATAAATTATAATGCATATTTTATTTCAATTATCAAACTTTTGACGAATATAAAGTTGATTTTATCTAAATAAAATTTAATTCAATTACATAAATATTTAATCAAGAAATAATTTTTAGAATAATTTTTGAAATAATTAAATTTTAGAATAATTCTAGAAATAATTTTAGAACCTATTATATATTAAACGTTAAAAATTGAACATTGCTTTCCAATTATATTAGCTGAATAGAACCATTGCTTAACTATATACTAATATTATTATATTAATATAATCAAATATCTTGATAGATTCAATCTTGGATCTGGACCAGCTATTGTCCGCGCGGATAAGCCCGTTACCTTGAGCGATTGGCATACCATCAAGATCCAACGTAATCGGAAGGAGGCAACGATGCTGGTAGACGGCGAGAGCTCTTACAAGGTGATTGCAGTAGGCAGGCGTCAAGGTCTGGATCTCAAAGAGCCCCTCTACATCGGCGGAGTGCCGAGCTACAGTGAGATCAACAAACAGTCCGAGGTGAACACAGGCTTCGTCGGATGCATCAGCCGGCTAGTCCTCGGAGAGAAGCAGGTTGATCTGATCGGCGATCAGACAGATAGTGTGGGAATCACAAGCTGCGAGACTTGCGCCGAAAATCCATGTAACAACGGCGGTGTATGCCAAGAAGCGGCTACGAAGAACGGCTACACATGTCTGTGCCGAGCTGGTTTCAGTGGCAAACACTGCGACTACGTCGGACAATCCTGTTATCCAGGTACAAAAGCTATTTAATTCGTTAATTAATTTATATTACGTTTTATTTAATTTAGGCCATAAATAAGCAACATGCATATAATAAAATTATATAATTTAATTATAAATTATTTTTTCATCGTAATTACATATAATTATAAAACAATTGCATATATATATATATATATATATATATATATATATAGTGCATGGATGAGTAATATCGATAGATCGATCATTGTTAATAATAGGAATATTAATGTTTTATTGTTTTACTGTTCCTTAATACAACGTTTTTAAATAATAATGACTTATAGTAAATTGAATAATAATAGGTGCGTGCGGAGAAGGTAAATGTGTCGACAAGGATATCGGCTTCGATTGTTATTGTCCGATCGGAAAGACGGGATCACGATGCGAGCATTCGGTGAACATTCACGATCCAGCTTTCCGTAATGAGAGGGCTTATCTCGCGTACGAGACTCCGAAAGCTCTTAGACGGTAAGTACATTCACTCATCCATCGAACGCACGTGCACGCATTACTTTTTAATGGATTATTCTTGATCGATGTTACAAGCGCCTAGGATCGAACATATTGTCATGGTGATTATGTCTCATGTGTAATATTTATCGTATTTTATGAGTTTCCTTAAATAATTATTTGCATATATAGCTTACGTATTAAAAATGATTGAATTAAGAGAAATTGATAGAACATATTCGGTAAAATCAATTTTTTTCAAATATGTTGTGAGATTTAAAGTATTAAATAATAATAATAATAATTATATACTTAAAAATAATTTTACACAAATAAATCCTTTTTTTTTGCATTCTCGCGAAATTTTCAAGATACATAAAAAGCCCTGTCTAGACAGAATCGTCATAAATGGAAATTCCCTATAAATGAATCTTCACATCTTTGACAAACTAACAGATTTAACTATAATTGGAATATAGGTACTAATCTGATTGCCAGTGCATCTGAACATCATCAAGCATCCTAATTACTAAAATTCTTTTCAGGGAGAGAGAGAGTTCGACCACTATACACAGTCGATCACGATTACGCAACGCACAAATTAGGCAACCACGATCAAGGCCACATCACCACAATAATTTGCACCACACAAAACATTAGCTAAACTTAGCACCAATTTTACGCACTTACAGAATCATTACTTATCCAATCTCACAGTAGTAATCTACTTCTCCCCGTAGATCTAATCAACCTCCATATACATATGAGCTATTTAAAATTATCAAAATACTCCTGTACGAGAAGATTTAATTTCGATTTATTTGCGATTTATCACTGCCTGTTTTTTTTTTCTTTGTTTGGTATGTATAGTAGCAATGTAAGGATAAAGCAACGAGTTTGTAACAGATATTTTGCAAGAAGCCTGCCTAGTGCGTAGTTCCTTAATGGACGTCATGGTGCTGTAACGTTAGAACATCAGTCAATTGAATTAGTAATTAATGTTTTGTACAGCTTTTTAATTAATACACTTAACGCGTTACTCTTTTTTTAGTCATTATTAATTATTAAAAGTAATATGCGCGCGTGAAGTCACTGCCAAATCAGTTACATTTGACAATAGTCCCAATTCAAGCTTAGAAAACGTCAAAGTCGTAATACCCATATACGTGTATATGACAGTTATATATGACAAAACATATGTAAAATGTTTGTACTTATGTCTAAGATTCTATATCTAATATAAATATTTAAAAAAGAGATATTTCATGTACGAGTGATCGTTTATATATTTAGTGAGTGGGGGGACTAATATCATGCTATACAAATAAATATTTTTAAAGCAAAATTAATGTAATAAGTTACACATTGTAGCTTAAGACGACAACGTTTTATTCAATTTCACCACTTGTATGTTGTTAAAAAAAGGTAAGTTTTAAGATATAGACACATTATTTTTTTATATAACACATATTTATCTTCTGATGTGTTGCTTATATATTTTGTATTTTTACATGTATACTACATATATGTGTGCTTATGTAAACCCTTCTCCTCCCCTTTCCTTGTTTATATTCGTATAATTAATAGTTTTAGAAATAATAACTATATAAGAAATATATTAATAAATACATTATTTGCATGTACCTCTCATCTGCAAGTTATAACAGATTTTTCCAAAAAATGCTCCGTATTTAAATAAACTTTAATTAACATTTTCTATAAAAAAGAGTAAGACAAAAAATAGAACTTTATATTTATATTTTACGCAATACACAAGAAAAAATAAAAGTGTGCAAGAGTATGTGCCCCCGTTGAGTTTTATAATAAAAATAAACTAAGTAAAAACACACATACAAAGGAATAATTAATACGTGATATATATATACCACGTATGATATTCGCTTAAAGTCCTTTCTGCGAATGTGCAATAATACATTCTTTTACATTCCATATACCTAATTTTAGGCTTAAGGTAACCATGAGTTTTAACCCTACGGACTCCGGGGATGGAATCTTGATGTATTGTTCTCAAAATGACGAAGGCCTCGGAGATTTTGCAGCGCTCATAATAAAGGACAAGCACATTGAATTCCGCTTCGATATCGGCTCCGGAATGGCAACCATAAGATCACCTTATGCAATCCAACCTGGTGTATGGACGTACGTAACGATGAATCGAGACTTCAAAAAAGCCAAATTGTCAGTGAACAGCGAGCCATTTGTGGAAGCTGAATCACCCGGAGCTTCCAGAACCATGATCTTAAATACACCTCTTTACATCGGAGGAGTGGATCGCAGAAAAATCACGATCAATAGGAACGTTGGTGTCGACCATAGTTTTCGTGGATGTATAAGCGAAGTAAGAATACTATTAATTATATATATAAGACAGATAACGATATATACGATCCCATACCGTTAATCATGATTATCTAACATTATTATTTTAATAATAAATTCTTTAAAAAATTTATAGAATTAATTCTTTATTAACGGAAATGAAATAAAAAATCTCTTTCTTTTTAGTTTTAAATATTTAATAAATCTTTAATTAAATCCAAGTAAAATTTTTGCAGTATTTTCAAATAAAATTATTTATGGATGTAATGGGAGTATATAGTTATAAATATACAATAATAATTAGCAACTTTAATGTGCAGTAGACAAAGAGAATCTCTCTTCATTTTTAACATATATATTTTTTTTTTATTTATTTATGATATATATAGCTCGAAGTTTTGTCAGTCAGTTTGGACATATTGAAATCATCGATTGACGCAGCCAATATCGAGAACTGTTCGATGTCTCAGCTGAATCAGACAATAATGCATACTACTATCACAACTTTGGCACCATCTACTCAGCCGCCAACAACATTGTTCGATCCTTGCGCATGGAACCCTTGCATCCACGGCATATGTCAAAGTTCAAATATGTATGATTATTCGTGTACATGCGAATACGGATATGTGGGCAGAAACTGTGAGAATGTATTGAAGCAATGCGAATTACTTACACCGTGTAAAAATGGGGGTTCTTGCACCGATCTTCACGGATCTTACAAATGCGATTGTCGCCTCGGTTACAACGGACAGAACTGCGAAAAGTGTAAGTAAGATTATAAATATAAATTAGATAAATGTATATTTTACAAAATGCTATAAATAATAAAAATATCATATAATATTTATAATAATTATAATAATTATTATAATTATTATAATGTTTGATTATAAATCACATGATTATATCTTTGTAGTGGCAGAGATCACGTACGATGTTGCCTTCAAAGGAGATGGCTGGTTGGAACTAGACAGATCTGTTATGACGCACGAAGAAGAACGTGAAGTTTTAGGCCTTGAAATCAGTACAAATAAGAGTAACGGACTGATTATGTGGCATGGTCAAACCTTGAATGATCTAACACCCGATGATTACATCGCCGTTGCTGTAGTAGATGGGTATGTACGACATATATACTGCAATATAATTTTTACACAAAAATAAAATAGTTAAGGTTTATGTAAAATTAGAAACAAACAATCTTTCTTTGACCTAAATATATATATATATTAATTTTTTTCCAAATCATTATAATACTATTCACGCTGCTTTAGTTTCAAGATATTGATAAATCTAAAGATTAATGCCTTTTGTATTATCTAGATACGTAGAGTATCAGTACAATTTAGGCTCCGGTCCCGCTGTAATTCGCGTCACCGCTCAGCGGGTCGATGACGGAGAACGACATAGAATAATTCTGAAACGTCAAGGAAGCGATGGTAGCATCGAATTGAACGGCGAGCACACCGAGAGCGGTGTAAGCGATGGACTTCAACAGATCTTGAACGCAAGAGGTAGCGTTTACTTGGGCGGATTGCCGGATTACGCGATGGCTTACGGAAGATACCATGACGGATTCTCCGGTTGCATTTACACTTTAGAGGTACAAGACTCAGGGGCTATCGATATCGGCGAGAAGGCTATCAGAGGAGTAAACGTATCGCCGTGTACGAGGTAAGATGTAAATAAGATATCTTTAGTAAAGAAAAAAGAAAATGTTATAAATTCTCTATTAATAAATTTAATATATTTAAATATTCGAATTAGCAAGTGACAGTAAAAATTCGGTAAAACAAAATGACATTTTATAGAGATGTGACTAATCTCGTTGGATATTTTTACACGCTGCTCACAGAGTAAGATGGATTCCATCTTCACTCGTATTCACAGACGCAGACGCAGATGTATTCGATGCGTTTGTCCCACCGCCACCGGTGAACATTATTCATCCGAAACCCGCGTCCAATCTGGCCGCGTGTGACATAACGAGTTATTCATTGTTAATTATACTTCAAAATTTGATTGCTTTGACTAGAGATATTAAGGAACAAAGTGTACTTTTCGCGCTATTATGCGTAGACGCAATTAACGTTTTCAAGGGCTTATTAAGCTAAATAATAGAGTGTTATATAATACTACATAAAATATATTCTCGATCTAACTTGTCGGAAATACATGTTTCTCTTTAGACCAAGAACGGCGATTATTAAATCGAACACCAATGTATAATATTTTAAAAGATATGTATTTCCACAAGTTTGCATACGATATGTATCTAATAAATTTGTAAATTGTTTAATGCTTAACCGACATATCGGAAATACTGCGGCGAAACTACGGTATGTCACTTTCTATCATTTCTGACATTCTTCTGTCGCGAATAATGATATATTTAACATTAATTTATCATTATGTGCGTACGACGAATTTATTATTAATTACTCATCGATTTTACATGTTTTTATTTTGCAGTGATCGAACTGATAGACCTCCCACACGTGGTGACCTCAGCTAAGAAAATGATCTGCATCTGAAAAACGTTATTGCGAGTTCGTATTGTTATACAAGCGGTAGTACAGTTGATGTAAATGTTGAATCTAAAAGCCAAAAGTATAGTCATTAAATTTTTCATACATATCTAATGTTTTGAAAAAAAACATTACAAGATAGAGGATCAAAAGCAAATCTGATATCATAGCTAATCAAACGTTGTCAGAACATTAAGATATATATAACATTAAAAGATACAACTTTTCGATTACGATAAGAGAATAATTTTGTGGATGGGATATCCTGCTCATATAAAAATCGAAAAGTAACACACATATTTAACCAATAAAGAAATACATGTATTTCTTTAACTCCACGGTTTGTAAACGATTTTCAGTGAGACAGAGCGTGAAAAATACGAAAGTGATTGTTACTAAACGAGCAACAAAACAATTTTATATCCGTAGATATACAGAATCCATCATGCATTAATGTATCGCTATCGATATTTTATAATCAAGATAACTATAATGTTTTATACTGTTTTATTTATATAAAAAGATTGAAACATTTAATTCGCAAATAATAAATTGTTATTTTAAAAATGCGAGAAAAATTTATGCATTTAGAAAATCACTCTCAAACTATCAGTTAATATAAAAATAAAAAATTCTCATGTTTTTCCCGTTTTTTCTCATGTTTCTTGTAATCAGTTTTGTCTTATTTTTGGTAATAATTACGAACAGCTAATGCGATGACTGATATAAAACGAAAATGTGTTAATGATAAAGTGTATAGTCTATAATTTTTCACTGCCATGTGCTAATTTATTCATATTCGTAATATGACAAAACAGGTTTGCGTCAAATAGGATAAATATTATTCACTAGAGTATGAGTGTAATCAAAGTTTTAATAAGACTTTGAGATATCTCTCCCATTACCAAAAAGACAATAAATTCTCATCACAGCCAAAGTTATTTCGTTGGGGAAACAGAAAACGACTTTCTCTATATCGTATTAGATATCGAATTTTCACAAAGAAGTTGGAAAGTATGCGCAAAGATTTATATATTTATAACACAAAAAGTTATCTTTCATTAAATATTATAGATTAACATGAACAAGAAGATCCTTCATATAAATATAAAAGATAGAAAAAAG